AAACAATCAATTATATGGACTTGTAACGGGTAATTTATAAATATTATTTTAAATTAAAAAATAAAGCTTAACTGTTTTAAGAAATTTAAAAACTATTTTAAATTCAAACCGTTTTAACACTATCATAATATAAACGTACTAATGTACTAAACGTACATTAATTGATTAATAGGTGTAATATTTACACCGTCAAAATCCAAGTTAACATATACATACATGTCAAAAAATATACAGACAGTAGTAACTGAAACTCAACTTGCTCCAGTTCGGTCTATTTTGCAGTTTCAATAAAACTTAATGAGTAAAAAAAAAAAATTGAGAAAACTATCAATTTATAATCATAAAATTATTAATTATTTGTCAATTACAAATTTGCAACCCACGAGAAATTTGATTTTTTCAGAAATGTGTATTTTACCGTTTATCTCACAAAAAAAAAGCAGTAATTAAAATAAAGGTCAATCAACAAAATTTTAACAAGTTACTCAGCTTTTAAAGCTGTATACAACATTATAGCTAAAAATATTATACTTTCAATTAATGATATTTTTAATAGCTATTTCATGTTAATACTTTAAAGTTAAAACTTGAACAGTACTCCTAGAGTGTTAAATCCTATACAGAGTACTTTAGATTGGTCTAACTAATTTTAAGATCTTAACTCTTAAGCCTTTACTGGCGTATTTTCTTTGATTGAAATATACATAATTGGAACTCAATTTTTTATTTTAATGGAACGATCGCGAATCTATCACAAGACAAGGGAATAGAGATGCAACTTCAGTATTACAAAAATATTCGGTTGTGGTCAGACGTCGAAGCCTACCAAAGATTTTTCGCAATAATTGTTATATTATGTTTTTTTTTTTTATAATTTTAGAAGGGCTCTTCTGGGTTAACCCGAATGTGAGTAAGCCATACGATAAAACTATACAAAAGTTAGTATTTAATAATGTAGACTATATCATAAAGAATTATTTAATTTTGGTATGATTAATACATTTATTAACGAATAATTAAATGTATATTAAACACTCACTTTACGATTCTGGTATGTTTGATTATACAAACGCCTGTTTTATCGTCGGCCAAACTGAGTGAAACCTCATAAATTAATATGGTAAAAACATAAAAATCACCTCACTCAACCGTGTACTAAGCTGTCAGCACCATTAATAGTCAATATTATAGTCTAGGGGTTCACCGCTTGACACGACACCTGCGCGATATCAGTGGAAACAACTCGTTTGCCGTCAACAAGATAAAAGTTTAAATAGGTATTTAATATAATTTACAAAGATGTTGTTATAAGTAACAGGTTAAACACAATATTTTCAGTAAACGGCGCACATCCTCTGTATCAAAATTTATAACAATAGGTAAATAATAGGTTACAATAGTAACCCATAACAACCTAAACCGGCTCTAAAGTTGCGTCCGGCAAAGCTATCTCGTGTGTAAAACTATCCATGGCGATTTCACACACAACTCTTAACGACGATTTACGGTTTTATGACTATATATATATATATATATAGAAGCGTTTTTAATTTGTATTATCAACTGTCCGCCAACAACGTTATCAAAATTACCCAACTTCCTATACCACCTGCAAACCGTTGAAATATACTGCGTTATATACGTTATAATATTATATTATACACATTTCTTTTTACCTGTAAACAATTATATAATATACTGGTATATCCTATTGTCGTTTTCATTATACTTATTTGTATGTGTGTGTGTGTGTGTGTGTGTACTAAACAAAATACCCAACCGTGACATTTTTCAAAGAAACCTAGTAATAAATTATTGAAATTTTAACAGCAACAACAGCAGTATTGCCCTTGATATTATTATGTTCCGATTTTATCGCCATGCGGTTGCCTGTGACTTCCCGAAATGATAACAATAGGTAATTAATAACTTTAAGGCTTGTTATTTCTATGAACATAGAAAGAATGCGCTTATGACTTATTATTTTTCCTTTACTTGTTTGTTGTTTTCAATTCCAAATGCTGGAGAATTCGCACTAAGTCATGTAATAATACCGTTATAATTACTCTTATCTATAATTGCGCCATAAAAATCTATTAAAAATTATGATGTCATAAAATGTTATGTTAAGGATTTTTGCGAAATGTTCGACTTCGCGGTGCATAAAAAAAAATTGCTTCTGAGCTAAACTTATCTTATACTTACCCTAAGCTGTGGTTGTAAAGAAAGAATTGAAACTAAAATTGTCTAATACATTTGTTTACTAGCTGTTATACTTTTATCAAACCAACTAATTTATTTCAAACATAATATAATTATTCAGCAGCGTGTTGCGGTACCTATTGCAAACCATCGAGTCTTAATTGGTCAAAAATGCTTATACTGCTCAGAACAGAGACGACTAATGTTTTTGATTTCGTAAATTCGGATTAAAGAATATTGCATTAGAACTCGCGTTTTATAAAAAAAATATCTTTTTTTAGTTCGTTAATAATGTGTACGGTCATATTGTACGGTTCTAACACATATTTATAGATTCGGTTCTCTCGTTTAATATAGATTGCACACATTAATAATTATAAAAAGGTTTCGTGACTAAAATTGTTTTATTAGTATAACTAATGTGTCTACGGATTGATTGAGCGCAACATAATTTTGTAGCATACTGTATATTAAAATATCCATAATGCTGGTCGGTAAGTACAACGACTAAAGCTTGAAGTAGGCATTATTGATGGCGTTAGTATGCAGCTGTAAGACCCTGTTTTGAGTTAATTGTATTGTCGTGACTAGGTATTTTTTTTTATTAAGAATTCACCGCCGGAGACGTTTTTAATCGGTATTTAACGCAAATAAAGCAATCGAATTTACCTCTACCTACTATTGTACCTGTACGTACTACTTGGCTTTTAAGATCTGTTTTTAAATAGCAATAGAGCAACGAGTTATTTAAAAAAATATATTTTACAGTATCTCTATTGTTATTATCGTCTATACTCTGTTCGGAATAAGAACAGGCTTCGGCGGCCGACTAGTGCGCATGGCCGCCCGACGAAAACGCATGGCCGCCGAAGCCTGTTCTTATTCCGAACAGAGTATAGCTCAGTCTGTTATTAGCGCTGATGAAGGTAACATTTCTGCCGAAATACGCATACACGCTAAAGTGTATTATTTTTTTGTGGTTAAGAGTTTCTTTTTAAATATTTCATTATTTTATTTCTTTGCTATATCTATTGCGTTGTAAATTATAATATTGACAGTTGACCGTTTGGGTTAATATTTTTTCTACGCGTTTCAAACGATCCGAAAACATATTCTCGGTAAAGCGTTTGAATAATTAAACACATTCGGCTCCTTTCAACATAAGCATTTGCTGATCGTTAATAAACCTACCCAAAAATAATTATTCTGAACACGAACCAAGTCCAAATAGCCTTGTCTGTCAAAAATCGATTTAAAACCATCAGTCAAATTTTCTAATGATTTAGCAGTCCTATATGAGTATGTTTTATAACATAAATTAACAGTAGATACCGCTCTTTCACATGTCAGAGTCGACAAAAATTATAGACATAATACAAATAGACTATAATTTATTGTTGTATTCAAATATTAAATCAACGTTGTAATGAAATTTGAAGTGCTCTAAAGTAATCAATACGTTAAAAAAAAAAGAAAAAACATTTTAATTGCACAAACTCGACATTGAACATAAATTGCACCAGTGTAAAATAGACGTTTTACTTATATAAATCATAATTCAGAAGAGAGGGTTTAATTAATAATGAATAATAGTATGAAATTCGAGGAACTTCATAACTTTGTGTATAGAATCATCAGGTCGGCAAATATATTTTAAACCAAATAAAACCCACGTGAAAACACAAATTCCATTGCGTATTATGTGGGCGACACGTTAAATTCTTGGGTTTTTTTTCTGGACATTATTCGCTACTCCGCGACTGTAATAATTGTCTGTATCTATTATTGAATAATCGAAGTAAATTTTTATTCTCGTGTTTGAATAATTAAACATATTTTAACGTTATAATGGTGTGTTTAATTGAAATCATAATAAACAAAATTATAATACCTACTTCTTCAATATTATAATTTCGATATCTTTTAAGTCTAAACAACCTATTGAGCTATATAGTTTATTATTATAAAATACAACTAATAAAGTCTTCATCCGTTGTTCTGATTTTTTGCAAATTGAGTATTCATAAAAAAATTAAAATTAAATTATAAAAAGGGTAGTTATATAAACGTTAAAAAAGTTACCCACTAGTTTAGAATTGGTTTTTATGACATTTCCAGGCTACCAAAAGTAAAAACTATTAGGTCCAAACCACGCATAATGGCTGCTTTGACATCACCACGTGGTTAAATAAACACAATACAGTACGATTCTTTTGAGCTAAGCAAAATAATATTACCATGATTCAGTTATACACGAACATATTTTGTTTATTCGTAATAATTATGACATAATGATACTATAATACTATACTTTCAATAATGTACGTTACATTTTGATCATAGACTATATTTTTAACTCCAATTTATGACAAACTGAAAAAAAAAGTCGCTCTTCGACATACACAATTTGTAAACTACGCGGCCGGATAAGCACGTGCACGACTGCCATTCCTAAAGAAAAACGAAAAAGCAACGAACGAAACGTCGCAATATTGTGCAATTGAGGTTTCTGAATGTTAGTACTATGACCAAAGTCCACAGGGACCAGGCCACCAGGCCCTGTATACATTTATAATGTATAAACCAGTCCCATGCTGTAGTACATATGCAATTGTGTGGGCAATGGGCATATTCAAATAAATCGAGCTAACAACTATTGCTGGGTAGTCAATTTGGAGAAAAAAGTTGTCGGTGGGGGTGTGTAGGATGGAGGGTTTTGTAATTTGCATCCAAGTGTCCCTCAGTTCCGAATATAACACACACACACACTCAATGTAAATGCGAGCATCTTGTCTTACCTGTATATGGTGTGCGTGCGTGCCGGATGGTGAACGTGTGGTGTACCGTCGCGTTTCACGTGAGACCTCTGCAGCACAGACTGTTGGTTCGTCTGCGCTGGTTGCCGTATGACATGTTGCGGCAGGCCGGTTGCTGTACAACGGCCGTGTGGTACGACGACGGGGGTAGAGCGGCGGTGGCGGCACGATGCGGACACACACTACTGCTGGTACGACTACCAAGTAGCCTGCTGTGGCCTGTGGCTGCCGCCAACGCCGCAAAACATCGCCGTCGTGGTCGCACAGACGCGCTCACCCACCGCCACCGCCACCCACGGCACGGTCGGCCCAGCCCCCGGGGCCGATCGATGGGGCCTACCGGTCGTCACGCTAGAGCTCGCGTCGTTCGCGTCGCAGCGTCGGCCGACAGTGTTGGTAACCGTTCTGGCGACGCAGTATAAAGTAAAACGTATCGAATCGGGCGCTGCGGTGGTCCGCTTTTCTGTACAATATTATTGTCGTACCGGAATAACAATGCGCTGTGCGAGCCTCCAGTGGCTGCGCTGTGTCAACAGTCGACAGAATGCTTGACCTTTGGGCCTTGTCCAGCAAGTCGACTGTCTGAAATACCTATTTGTAATTTGTATTGCCTACTCAGGATTGAATCCAGGGGGAGGTTCATGAAATTAAAACATGTCCTTCACATTTATTTAAAAACTACTAAAAAACTTTGGTTTTTTGTAAAAAAAAATCTGACATCAAATAAGACGCTCCCGCGACCGGTTAAAAATAAGGCCAAACCTTGATTATAATTATTAATCAATTAATATGAGTTATATATCTGAAACAAAAAATGTCAAATTTTTTATAGCATAATTTAAAAGTGTATATTTTTACTTCATTATAGTTTGTTTTTAATAAATCATTCTATTTTTCTAATAGCTCAATCAAAATCGGCATTTAAGCATCCATAGAGAGAATAGTAGATACGCCAAATAATTACTTCTACAAAAGTCATTTTTACTTGTTGTTCATAATATACTATGATTATTTTTTAAAATTAAGTATTTTTTGTACTCTTAAGTAACTCGAGACCCCCAAATTTTATTTCTAGATCCGCGCCTGTGCCTACGCATTGTAGCCTATACGAGTTTTTTTCATTTTCACATCTGTCACATCTTCACTATATTATTTGATAGTACATCTAGTAAGAGGAGCTTTAAAATGTTGAAAACGTAATAAATAATAATATTATGTAGGATATTTTTTGTAGGTTTATTTTTATTAATTGTTAATAATAATTTATTTTATTAATTTTATTAATTAAAATTCACTTTATATGCCCAATTCCTTTCTTCTTGAATAATACGTGATATGTCCATCAGGAGATGATGCGACATGGACAAAAAGAGACCGGCGCACCGTGGCAGTAACATACTACAGTGGTAAGTAAAGTCGACGACTGCTGCTGCTGGGACCCTGGTATCCTAGTGTGGCGACAAACTGATGGCCGGTCAGACGGGAGCGCACGACGTTTTGGTAGCTGCGGCATTTATTTGCATCATCGGCAACCAGGGTTCTATCTAATGACGGGAAGGCATGCAAGGTCCTAATTAATGATGAGCGTAAGGGTTTTTTAAAATCAAGTACAATATTTGTATTATGTGGTGCTCTCTACCGGTCTTACATTTCATCACTACTTTATAGTCTGGAGTTTTGGACAACATTCGTTTAAAATGTCATGAAATTACTTTACTTTTACGTTATTATTTTTAATTATTATAGTAATTTAAATACTTTTTTTGACATAAGATATCTTATGGCTGGGGACTGTCGCATATTTGCGTGGTTTTTTTTTTTGTAACGCGACAATATACAACTTGGTAACTACCTATAGGGTTATTATTATATTTTTTTTATATTTTTTAGTACTATTTTATCTGATTTATTATATTTGAACAAACATAAACTATAAAAAACTATTAATGATAAACGAGCTTTTCTTGTTTCAGTTTATGCTATCCCGGGTACTTTGATGCGAGAAATCACGACATTTTTGTTTAAACTATTTATTTATTATTTTACATTTGTAGAAATTTAGAACAATATAATTATTAACTGTATTTTATCGACATTTTGTTCGGTACGGTATTTTGTAAATGTTATAATTATGTTCTTAAATGTTATTGTTTACAAATTAAATAATGAAAATAAAGTACAACATTCTTAACTCAACAAATTAATTTCAATTTTCGAGCGAACAAATTCCGAGAGACTAACTGAAATAAATAACAATTATAACAATATGAATATCGACTGACGGACAATGGTCGATGTAGTTATTTAAAATACTGTCCACATGTGTAAATCATGTTGACTGTTAATGTGCTATAAGGGGTTATGCCGATGCGGATTGCGTTATAAACAATGAACATAATATTTTGGCTAAATTATAAAAAAAAAAATTATGAAAGGAATAACTTCTTAATTTTAGCTGTCCGACCGGGCCATTTTTCTTAGATCATCTTAAGTCGTAGGACACGTTTCAGCAGTGGACAACAATTTGCTCGGTTATGCAATAAAAAAAAAAAAGAATAAAAATACTTGAGTTTGCAGTTTTGAGCGTTTCTAGTACTTAGTAGGTAAACCCGGTAGGTACAGTGTACACTTTTGACTGTTACTGACATGAATGTATTACATGACGTCAATACCCTAAATTTTCTAGCGTATAAACGGTTTCGCTAAACCTGACTACGTAGAACGGCGTGATGGTTTTAGCGCTAAAACACTTATAGTGGAAATGGACGAGGACAACATTTTGGCAATGACATATCCTTTCATCAAAATTACTAATAATACCTACTACTTACAGTAAGAGTAATTCAGTAAGAGTGAGAGTAAGTAAAAGTAAACGGCACCCATAACCCAGGGTGATTGGTGAGGAATGTACCTGTTGTATTATACTGCGGTGTGCCTGTGTTTTCAATTTTGGTCTTTATATTTAGCCGTACCTATTAATATATTATATTTAATAAACGTCGTTGTTTTATTTATACCGCAGCGCGCGCGCGTTTATTTTGATACGATAATAACAATGCAGGCAATGCTGCTTGTCGTTAAGATAAGACAAGGGGACGTTTCTACAAGTATTCGGTACCTAATCGGTATTCGTGAATTCGTATTTCGTTCACACTTCGCAAACAACAATCGCTAACGTAGTCATGGTGTTGCTTTTTTTGTTCGGATTTTTTACGGGCTACACTATTCTAATAGTGGCCAGAGAAGCCTGGAAGTGGAAGTCGCTAACGAACAAAAAAAAGCGTAAAGCAAAGGACAATGGATTGCTTGGAAATTTCGACGTTGACCGTGCCAAACTAGAAGACACGGCCAACGAAGCTCAATTTAAATCGTCGCCGTCGAAACGTTTGAGGTGAGCGTTAGATAATATTATTATTTACCATTTTGTTTGTAGTATTCTTTGAGTTTGGGCTGTAAGAGTTAAGTGTGCAGTATACATGGCCTGTTGAAATAGGTGCAGTCAAATGCTACAACTTGAGACAGTTTTCAATTTAAAAACACCAAACTCAAAGCAACCAAAGTCAAATTCCCCAAATTATACAGTCTCAAGTTAAATGTATGCGCCAAGTAACTGCTGCTAACCACTGTTCCACATGATTGCCCTTCACATTATTATTCTAAAATCATTTTTTTGATTTTTTTCCTATGAACTGTAATTATTATTATAATTATCATTTATTAATTATATATGCTTATTGAAATTGTATTTTTTTTAGGAAATGTTTAAAAAATGATTGCATGAGCTGTGAACTTATTTATAGTGATAAATATACATTTAAAGCATACAAAGAAAGAACTCCCAACTTTCTGCTCAAGTTAAATCTTTTGCGAAAGTAATTATTCTATTTTACAAATAATAATTAACAAGGGGAAAATAATTTTCTTAACCATAATTACAGAGAAAAACAATTTTGCGATGTAAAATTAATCACAGAAGATAGCAAAGAAATTTGGGCTCATAAAAATGTTTTATCTTCAAACTGTGAATATTTTGAACGAATGTTTAGCGGTACATTCAAGGAAAGCAACTTATATGAAGTTATTATCAAGCATATACCTAATGATGTTTTAGACGATATCATTAGTTTTATTTATACTTCGCAGTTAGTCATTACAGAACAAAATGTTGAGGTTAGTATGTTGATATTTTTTTTTATCATAAAGTGAAGTTTTTTAAGTAATTATGATTACAATATTTTTATAATTATGACAGTTATATTACACATTTTAAAGACAATTTTTCCAATTTTGACAATATAGTTTTTTATGCATTAAACATGATCCAGGTTTAAGGTATAAAACGTTGAACCTTCTTTTTAATAAATAATCTACATGACATTTAATTTTTTTTTTTTAAACATTTTAGAATTTGTTAGTAGCTTCAAATTTTATGTTACTGGATGATGTTTGTCAATCATGTGAGGAAAATTTAAAAAATTTGACTACTCCAGAAAATTGTATGCACATAATGAAAATTGCTGATGATTATAATTTGAACGATTTGCAAAAGTTCTGCATGTCATATGCCATGGATCATTTCGAGTACTATAATTTTGTTTAGAAATTTTCTCACATAATTAAAATTTTTAATATTTTTAGATTTTTAGCCACTACATCATCATTTCTAAATTCTCCACATCATCAAATTGAATATCTTATAGCAAATGATAATTTATGTGCTAAGGAAGAAACTGTAATTATTTTAACTTTAAAACAGTATTTGTCTATTAACTTCATATTGTAACCTTTCGCTATTTATAGGTATGCTCAGCTGTAATTAATTGGGTTAAATTTGTTGAAGAAACACGTTTAAAGGACTTACCTAATTTATTACGTTATGTCCGGTTTTCACTTCTATCATCTGAATATCTTAAAAACATAATTAAATCGGAACCAATAATTTATTCAAACCCAAACTGCAAGTATATTATTATTTTAACTTAAAAATAATAAATTATTTCTGTTATTCTTATTATATTATTTTTTATATTAAGTATCCAAATGCCCATGTTTTTTTTTTTGTGAATAATCTAGGTAATTTATTTATGAATAATATTTATACAACTCTGGTACACAGAATTATATGTAGCCCCTAAATTTGAGGGGGGTCACGGGTAAAAATAAAACCTAGTTAACCCAACTATAATTAATTAAAACAATCAATGTATGGTTAACTAAATAAAAAGTTTGGCCAACTAAATGTTTAGTTAATTATTTAGTTATTCCAACTATATATTAATGTGCTCTCAACAACAACAAAATTATGAGCTGGTAAATTGTATATTAATTATTTTATATAAGTAAATATATAGTACAAACACTAGGTGGTGTTAGGTATCTTAATTTAAAATGAACAAAAAGTACCGCTGTGTGAGGTCATACATAAAGCGGCGTATATATTTTTAGTTATAATAATAATAAAGCCACTAAGGTAGGATTAAGGAATTTTGGAGTTGGGGAGGTCACAGGTTTTCAGATATTATTATGACTAAAAGTCATAAAATAACTTTCTAAACAATTCTTAATGCAAACCTTTAGAAAACTGGTAGGTAAAATCTATTAAATAATCATATAGATTTTTCTCAATTTTTAAGGGGAAAGTAAAACCTTTTGTGATATTTCTGTATGATTTCTATTTTATAGACTTGCTAGTTGAAGAAAACTCCCAGAAAAATTGGGCCCAAACTCAAAATTTTAAAATTAAAATAAAATAATTTGTTTTTTAATTTAATAATATGGGACAGCAATTTTTTTTATTCCTTCGGTGGCAAATTGTCTAAATATGACCCTGTATGTAGATATTTTGCAAAAAAAAAAATTTTAAATAATTTTAATTTTATTTATTTTAATGTTTTTTATAGTTGTGTCCTATTTTTATGAGACTTGGCATCATCAAATTATTGAAGGAAAGTCATCAATTTTTGATGACACTTTGCAACGTAAACCCTTAATAAAGGTAAAAGCTACAAAGTATTTTCTTAACAGTTTACTTCCATCTAGATAAAATATTTGATTGTTACACAAATACTAATAAATTATTAACTACCTACATTAATAGATAAATAGTATTTTATTAATTACTCAATTTGTATGTTTAAATAAATTAAATAATTAACTATAATTAGGAGTTAACTTTTAGTTGTTGGTTTTAGATATCATTACACTTTATTGAGAATAATTTGTAACATAGTTCATAGTGTACAATTAATGTAGGGGTTTGATAAGTATAATCTGTTATATTGTTATTTTACTGTGTTGTGAACAGTTTTTTTTTTTGCCTTAGTCTATTGTAGTTTTATGCAGTAGTAACAATTTAACTGATATTACATCGTTCCATATTAAATGGTTTGATCCAATTATTCATCAATGGCTGTCTTATCCGTCCAACTTGACAGTACCTTGGAATGAATCGACTCTTGTCATGGTAAATGGAAGTCGATTGTTTGCCGTAGGTGGTCAAGAAAACGAAGATAATCGAGGGTTGAAATCTTTTGGCGAGTTTAATGTACAAACCAATAGTTGGGACGAACTGCCCGAAATGAAATGCAGACGGATAAGGCCTGGAGTTGTGCTGTTTAAAAATTGCATCTATGTGGTATTTTTATATTTTATAATTATTAATTGATGTCAAAAATTAGATGTAGTGATGAACGAGGCTAGGCAAGTTAATCAATTTGTTTATCTACTAGTTGGTCTAAAATATTAACCAACGCCCAGCCTCAATCATCACTAGTTATAATTGGATAGATTACCTACTTGGAATAAACAAAAACTAGTTGTTCGGTAAAGTAACTTAGTTTATGTTAGTGAGCAAAATTACTGAGATAGAAAAAAGTTTAATAATAACAAAATTGTATTTCATTTATGTTAATTTCAAAAAGTTTATGAAACTTCAAAAAATATTATCATAATTTACTTCCAAAGTAGAACCTATACCTATTCTTTGTTTTAATTGTTGCCCACTATCCCTAAAAGGGTGTTTTACATGATCATAATATGTATATTGCCATGTTTTATTTAAAACTATTTTAAAAGCTAAATAAATAAAACATTTTATTTTTATCAAAAGCTATTTAATTTTACATAATGATTAATACAATATTTGTTTTGTGTTCTACTTTTAATTTACTCAAACCTAAAATTTTTTTATTTTAACACTTAGATTAAAACAAATGTAGAAGTTTCTTTGACAAAATCAACCTAACTGTTTTTAATTTTTATAATTTGATTAGTGTCCGTTTTGTTATATTTATCTTATTAATTTTCTACAAAAAAAACCCATACTAAAATGTGTTCTTACAAAATTACAACTATTTAAATTGTATAGTTAGTTTATAGATTAAGTAATTAATTGAATTAAAATTTGCTGATAAAACTAACATCTAACTTAACTTTTACCTCTTTAACTATTTAGTGCCTAGGCTCAGTGAAGATAATGATAATACTTGTTTTATTATTTTAGTTTGGAGGCCAGAAAAAAATATATGATGAATCGGTACTCTGCAATGGGGAATATTTTGATTTGGATACTAAAAAGTGGTATTCTGTTAGACGTATGCATACTAAAAGATCAGATTTTAATTTGTTTGTAATAAATGGATTGATATATCCTGTTAGTATACAGTTTTATAACATAACTTTATTATGCAAAACTAATTATTTATTATTTATTTAATCCTAATGTATTATTAATTCTGGAGATATCTATTTGTATAATATGTGGTTATCTAAAAATAAGTGCAGCCACAAACTTTTTCTTAACACAGAGAAAAAAATGTTATAATTATTATTTTTAATTTTCTATAATACTTTTGCTGCTTAACATTATTACTTTTTATTTATTAGATTGAGAAAACTAACGGCATCAGTCAAGATATCATTACCGAGTGTTACAATCCAGAATTAAATCTTTGGAGTCGTTTAAAATTCAATAATTTACACCATAAAGTATACAATTCTTCTATTTGTGTTTTGAATAATATTATGTATGTTGCAGGAGGTATAAAAAATGGCAAAGTATTTAAATGTGTTGATACGTTTAACTTAAAGACCAATACATGGTCATCTGTAGTCGATATGAATATTGGTAGATTTGATGCAAGTAAGATAAATGAATTATTATTTATTACATTATAATATATAAATAAATTGGTGGTCTTTAAATTGTCCGTAGGTGCAATCTCACTTAACGGTCGAGTATATGTAATTGGTGGTAAATCTAAAATAAATAAATATGGTCACAGTTCAAATAAAGATTTTTTAAATTCTGTTGAGGTTTATGATCCAGCACACAATAAATGGAATATTTTGGATATTGACTTGAATTGTTCCAAGATTTTCTCACTTTTCATTTGTAACACAAATTCTACAATTATAAAAGATTTTTTTTGTAAAAATTGATTTGATATATTTATTTAATGTTTATATTTTATTTGTGAAATTTTGTATTTGTATATATACATATATATATTTTTTTAAGAACATATTTTTGGTATCTAAATATACACATATATCTATGTTTTTTATCGTATAGTTTTTTTACACAATTCCTATAGGAATCTACACTAGTTTATTAATATCTAATCATATCTATAATGTTCAAATTATTCAACTAGTATCATTGTTTACACATTTTAGTATAATTTGTATTTTGTTCAGTGCCTGGTGGTGATTGCTGACAATTATTGCAACTATGCAGATTACCCTACCAGCTACGTCGAATGGTATGATTATGCGACATGTCAGTGGATAAAGCATCGGACTACTTGGAAACCACCATTTATGGGGCCAACATATTATGTACTTGATAACTGCTCGTTATTGGCTATAGGTGGAAGAAATTTAAATGATGACGCTATAAAGACTGTTAGAGTTTTTGACTCCCAAAGCGCTCGATGGAATCATATGACCGATATGAACTGTAGGCGATACGATCCTGGAGTTGTTCAGTTTGGTAACCGGTTGTATGTGGTGTGTAGCAAATGATTAATTTTAAGTACACTGTACAATGCTTCATAAAAAAGCGTCAATTTATATTATAATGCCGAATTGTACAAATCTTTTTCTTCTTCACTTTATTTAATACAAATGATGACGGGATTGGGTACAAATTGTATTTTTCTTACTACTTGAACCAAAAAAAACATAACCTATATGTATTTCTATCTTCCTAAATAATGTATTCATTACTGCCAAATCATTTGCACAATCTAAAATTTTCTCTCGTAAACCAAAGGCGCTTTTTCGGTTCCTTTTCTTCGTGTCCATTTATTCTCCTCTAACCACCATTCTTTTGTTGTTAGGTATTGTACGCTTGTACAACCTCGTCTAGTTCTATCTAACATTCTTTTTAAGTTCTCTCACACCCCATTTGTCAATCTGTGGCTTATCCGCTTATGCATTTACAATATTCACTAAACCTATTGGCTATCGCTAACACCAAGTTTACTACTGTTACTGCTATTGTGCTATAACTCTGTAATATTTGTTATTACTTCCCAATCTTAGTTTTCATATTTTTTTGTTCTTATCCAATATTGCTTCAATTCCATTTCATCTTCAAATCTTCCCAGAGTACGACATAATGTATTAGTATACCCATCTCTTTCGGTCTATCGAGTATTCCTATCGATCTAGGTTCTTATACGCACTATTTTTTTCCTTAACTTCCTACTTGTACTTGTTAGCTACTACCTATGACTTACACCATCTAAGACGCTACTCTAATTTCCTAAATTTGAATCATTTCTCTTATATTTAAGTATTAAAGTTCCTCTATAGGTGTGAGTTACGATGTCGCGGTAAAATAAGTAACCTAGTTTTTTCATATAAAATTTGATTTAACTTTTTTAATATTATCTTAATTTATTATTATTTTAAATAATTGTTAACTGTTTATAGATTGGCGGTTGTAAAAAAGTAGATAAAGAAGGACAGCGAGGTGGTGAGTACTATGACATGTGTACCGAAAAGTGGCATTGTATACGACGGATGGTACATGGTCGAGAATCATTTGGAATTGGTGTTATTAATGATTATATATACGTGGTAAGGTTATAAATAACACTTACCAAACTTGCTTGATGTATAATATCTTAATTCTTATTAGCTTTATTATAAGCCCCCTCTTTACGGTTAACGGTATGCATAATGTACAATTTTCTGTAAGGGGTTTCAGGTTTGAAAGGGGGAGCTTAACCCTTTCGTTACTGACATCCTCGTTCGAGGATTTAACTTTAAAAATCGAATAAAATATTAACAACGTACTATCATTATCAAAAATGTCTTTAAACACAAGTTCTAGTATAGATTGATGATAAAAAAAATCGACACAGCTATATTGATAATCAATATCAGTCCGATACGTAAAAAACCTGTTGATTCTTTTTTCGAAAAAAAAAAAATCTCAGGAACGAAAGGGTTAAGTTTTATTTTATCTAAATTCTATACGATCTAGTGTTTAATATTGTGTATTGTGATAACTATTTTTTGCGGGGAGGGGGGCGGGCGTTAACGACACAAATAAACCTGGTCCAGTCTTAACCTGTGACCTGATAATAGAGGTCAAGTTTTCCAATACTGTACTTCCTTAACTTGACTAACTACTTAAATTTAATAATATAGTATTGAATAATACGTTCAGATTTTTCTTTTTTTACCTAGAGTATATAGTATTCTTTATTTCTAGCATAGTTGTTTTTTTATATTATACCTTTTATTATAAACACTATTATAATGCGGATTTACTTTAATAGTATTTAAATAAATAGGTCGGTGGTCATGGGATTGGTATTTTTACATCCGGCGAACGCTACGATCCAAAGTCTAATACTTGGTCACCAATTCCTTCAATGCCAATATGTAGAGACGGTCCATTCATTTGTTTTTTGGACAAAAAAATTTATGTGATCGGTGGTTGGGTTGGCGGAAGTTGTTCAAAATCGGTTGATGTATTTGACACGTCGACAAATTCATGGAAATCTACTGCGGATATGCAGTACGGCAGATCATATGCATGTATGCCATTTTTTAAAGTATCAATGTAATAATCAGGTGTATATTTATGGCTCCAGCCCCCCCCCCCTCCGAATTTTTTTTATTCTGCCTATGGGCCTATATGGTGTGAGTTGTAGAAGTTTAATATTGTCAAGTTTTTATTAGGAGTTAGTGCCTTAGCCCCCTCCCCCAAAAAATATCTAAATACGCCCCTGGTAATAATAAGCTTTTAGTTGGTAATAGATATCAAAGCGGAACTGAGAAGTATTAATTTTATAATAAGTTTTTTTTAATGTCTGTACCCATTGTAATTTTTTTTCTACTCAATCGATTTCCCCGAGTAGCATCTCTATCGACCACAACAAGAACTGTGACTGTCCCTCGACCCCATTATGATTTGTTTAATTTTAACATTTTTTGTCAATCGCTGTTGAGCTTATAACTAATTTTTAAAACGTTTTTCTTAATAGTTTGCTTTTGTTATACATTATTGTTTAGCGGGTGGTGTTCTGAATGGACAAATTTACGTAATTGGCGGAATCAGCGGAGCTATTTTTGATGGATCTAGAATGATATTGAATACTTCTGAAGTGTATGATCCAAGAAAAAATAAGTGGTCAATAGCCAAAGGAGTGTTGAGCAAAGACACAGCTCAACGTCAGCACATTGCATTAGTTTGTGATAGAAGTGTAAGTTTCTTAAGGAGTATATTGAAAGTCACTGCCGATAAAGATTAATTATTACTTATAATACACTTAATTTTATTTTAAAAATTTACAGTTAATAATTATGTTTACTTTTTGTTTAACGATTTATTTTATTTTAAATTATCAAATGTGCTGTTATTTTCGATGAGTTATTTTTATATTATTAAATGTTTTGCTTAGTCGTCTAAATCTGGAGTTTATTTACTTTAAACACATTTTTTGTTCAAATAATTAGTTTTTACTCATACAAATTAATATGGCGCCCCTTGAGAGTTTTTTACTTCATTATGGTACTACGATATTATATTTATAAAACATAAAAATTATTCCAAAACAGATACAACCCTTTATTTTTTCTGAATATTATTAACAGAAGTTTAAGTAATGTCAAATTTGATATTTGATGAACTATTTATTTTTTGTGACCTACCTAATTAAACATGAACAGAATTGTAATCTAAAAAATAGTTATTATTGGACAATTTTAACTTGTGTTATACCTAATATTGCATTTCTATTGTTGAGTCGGTTCTGTTTTTGTGTAGACTGTGAGTTGTATTAGCGTACTGTATTAATTGATGACAGGCGTATTAAATGAGTTAATAGTTGTTTTTTAAGTTATGTGGGCTATACCTAACTATAAATATTGAACGTCGTCGTACCGTGCTTCATTTCTTTTTGGTCCAAATATTTCTTCGCTACACTTTCCTCTCGAATATCATTTGTTTGTTTTCGTCAGACTTGGAGGATGCCTATAATTCACAAGCATATGCCATGTATACATTGTTTGGAATTTTCATTGAATTGTCTGCGCTAATTTATGGTAAGATTATTATAATATTATCGAACAATTATGAATATATGATAACAAGCAAAAAATTGTGTGTAAATTGTATCAAATTTTGGATAATTGTGTAAATTTCTATTTGATTTATTTTATTTTATAACTATTCTTATTATGGAGTATAAAATTACATTAACTATACATATTCAGCGAGCATTTAAAAGCAAAATAATTATAGAATTTTGAATAAATAACGGTTTTGAAGTGTCGTAGTTAGTTTTTCATCTCGTAAACCAACCTTGGGTTTTCATTTTAACTTAAATAACTTTTTCCTGAATAAATAACGGGTTTAGACTTTAGTATAGCGTACGTAACCGTTAATCCAATCTTGTATAGAAATATAGAATTTACTAGTTTTGTATTTAATCTGTAGTTTTTTAATTAAAGAATTATAACACCAGTTGGCAGTTTATGAAATTTATATTTTTTAATTAAAAAAAAATATATACTATTTTTAAAAAATGGTGTTAATGTGAGGAGTAGTGCAGATTGTTATATGTATATCTACAGAATATTTTATCTATTTTTATTGTTTATGATCAAAATCCGTGTTTTGTTTATTGTTAATCGCTATACATAATACCTAAAGTCTAATAGATATGAATTAAGCATATGAAAACAAAAACAAATATATATGTAGATAACAACTCCTAATATAATTATTATAATAGACGTATTATTTGTAGCACCCGAAGTACCACTTGTAGTAGGTACGCTTTAGTGTTATTTGAAAGTCGTTGGTGGCATCATTGAAAAATATGGACAGTAAGTATACTAATAACCGTTCCTTAGTTATTGCTTTTTACCAAAAACATAATTGCACAAAACAACATAATTATTAATAATTCTATACACATTACAGAACGGACCTTGTTGTGGTACATGACTTTTTGGGGGTTTGCTATGAATTATATGTTACGTTTGAACATCAACATAGCCATAGTATCGATGATCAAACACCCTGCGAAAAACTCAAACGTTACAGTTGTGAGCGAATGCCTGCGGGACATCAAATTAACCGAATTCAACGATACTCGTGGGAATACATTTCCACTTGAACTCGATGCCGAAGTAAGTAAACATGGGTTTTTCATCAACTATTAATTTCGCACGAACCATTTGCTGTAATTATGTAAGAAAACGCTTTACATGCAGTTTGTAGATAAACTTGTTGTTTAAGGATGATAAATTCGATTGGGACGAAACTAAACAAAGTACCGTGCTCAGTTCATTTTTTTCACTCCACATGATAATGCAAATACCCGGTGGAATTTTGGCTCAACGTTACGGAGCGAAAAACGTTGTTGGCATAAGTAACGGTCTGGCTGCAATACTTTCATTTGCTATACCTCTATCAGCGAAAATTGATTATAAAGTTTTAGCTGCCATTCGACTGATCCAAGGCTTTACTTCCGTGAGTACAAATCGTTTGGCCAAAACGAACTATTTAGGATCATTGTACAAGGTGATCATTTTATCGTGAACCATTCAATATCTCATTGGGTTTATTTAATCAGTGAAATTATTTTTCATAGTGTTTTTTTATATAATGTGATCTCAATTATCCACAAATTTTTATGTTCCTACCCTCTCCCAAACTAATTATTTTTGTATTAACTTTTGAAACATAAATGGTGTAACGCATGCATTTCATAAACTTTTTAAATTGAAAATAATGTAAAAAAAATGTCGTGTGGTCGATAACTAGTTATTGATAACTATTTTTAAAGTTATTGAAGTTTCAAGTTTAGGGCAGAAGGAAAGGTGGAGTGTAGTATTATTATTGTCTGCGCGCATTTACCCTTCCAGCTCCCGCCATAACTTTTAAACTCTTATAACTTTAAAAATAGTTGTTCAAAACTGGTTATCAACTAGTCAAATTGTTTAGTAAAATATTCTGAATTTAAAAATTTAATAAAATATATACGTTACCATTTAAGTTACAAAAGTTGATATAAAAATAATTAAGTTGTAAGGGGTGTTAAAAACAAAAAAAATGTGACAATTTAGGTCACATTGTATAAAAACACTAAAAAAAAATCTAATTGAACTCTACGAGATAGTGAGCGGTTCACGATAAAATGATCACCCTGCGTAATAAATTAATTAATAACTAATCACCCAGGGGGCTGTTTGGCCTGCAATGCACACGATGACTGCTAAATGGATTCCCGTACACGAGAGGAGTCGTTTTGTTTCAGCGTATTTAGGTAAAGTTAAATTGTTAATTATTGTAGGTATAATTGCTTTTGAAATAGAAATAGTACATTTAAATAAAACTACTATTTATATTGATAATTTATAACGCTATAAAGTCACCACATATGATTAAATGATGTAACAAAAAGAGCATTTTAAATGGAAAATAAATAATTACTGTTTGAACTTTTGGCAAAATATGATTAAGCAATTTTAATCTGAATTAGTTTATAAAATATGTGTTTTTTAAAAATAATATTTAGAAAGTAAAAATTAAAAAAAGGAATAATTATTGTAGGTAATAGTAACATGATTAAACTTTAGAAAAACAGCATAGTGAGGCCTGGGAATATTGTGAAAGAGCATATTGAGGTAGTTGTAGAGTGTAGACAATAGAGTCTATAGTCTATAGAGTATAGACTGTAGTACTGAACGGTTGGATCTATTATAATTGAGTAACGCTAAAATGAATTAATTCTCAAATAAAACGCTTCGACGCGAATCTAAAGAGATATAATTATTACATCATCGATAAAAATCATTGTAAAGGCTATTGCATGATTTGATTAAAATTTAATTTTTAGCAATAAAGTGAATAGGAGTAGAATTGATCGTTTGTCTATAATAATTTATTGCCATTGTTACCCATGTATTTTAGCTTACAATATATGCCGTTGTTACCCATGTATTTTAGCTTACAATATAATGCAAATAATGTTCTATATCTCTTAACTGTTTATTCATACATACCATCTAGACATTAAAAACGTTTAAATTTAAATTTACCCATATTTTGAGTTTTCCTTAAAAAGAAAAGTTTGACTACTGAATTTTGTAACAAAATCTACTCAACATCTACCTTCAGCCAAATTTTCAGACTGAGGTTATGATTTTTTTTTGGTTTACCGGTATTCATTGATATTATTATATTTAAAAAATGTTTTTTTACAAATGGAACTAATTCGACCATTTCTAATGCGTCGTAATTTTAAGTTGAAAAATATGTATATTTTGTTTGTGTTTTGCACAATTTTGAAAAGAAGAGGTGAACTTTTTTAATTTTCGGTCCAATGAAATACCTTTTAGGTACAATTTCTGATTTGCAGACTTATTACATGAAGTAATAGGTTTTGCAATTTAAGAGATATTGTAGATTCAAACACAAAAAAATTACATTATTGTAAAAACATAGTTTTCAGCTCCACATCGAAGCAAAACAAATTACGATTTTCTTGATATATATTTTCTAATTACCAACAAATTCAATCAAATCATAATTTGTTTTTTGCAATTTTGATAGTGTTTGGCTATAAATAATAATTAATAACCAATATATTAGCTGTAGATTTTTGACTTGGTGTTTTAAATTTGTTTAAAATAAGCGGCTTGGCAGACGACATTAAAATTCGTTGTACGTTGTAAAAATTATGTAATAAAGGTTTATTGTCCTAAACTTTATATGTAAATGTTTCTATAACTGTCTGCAGAAAAACATGGTATTTTATCTAAACAATTCAACTAGTTATATTTATATAAAAACTAAAATTACCCCTGAAGTCTTTTGATCTATAAGTATTTTGTCTGGTTTCTTTTGTAGACTTTTTATTATAAAATTATATAAAATTATATAATATGATTTCTCTTTTCCTTAATCTAACTGGTTAATTTATCTTTAATTTTTATTTTAAAATGGCGTCCTAAATGTTAAACAATTCTATTAAAAAAATAACTCATAACTGATGAAAATAATTACTCTACGAGAACGAGTTTCAAATTTATTATGTTTAAACCATTATAATGTGAGTTGTAGTACATGTAAGCGGTGCTCGTAAAATACACACGCTTACGTGCGTCACCTATCTATTCGCTTTATTACTTAAATGCTTTTCACTTCAAAAATAGTTATTCAAAGCTAATTATGGGTCAGTACTTATTTTGGTCATTGTTTTAATTATCTTTAATATATAGTTTTTTAAAACAATAGTTTAAATAAATGTTCAAATCTTATTAAATGCGTGTATTACTTAAATATACATTCATTTAAACATTGTTGGTTACTTTATATTTTTTATATCTATAAGTTTAATAACATCTATAGTTATTGGAGAACAATTAGGTTATGAAAAAGCTGGACTTCAAAGTTAAAAATATCCAAATTTGAGACCATCATCTCACTATTGGTATTTTACAGTAAATTTAATTAGTTTTTATAATTCATTTTCAACAGTTTTGTACATTAACTAGCAAAAACTTTAAAAGTGTATATTTTAAATAATATCGAGCTTGTATGAAAACTGATTGCGTCATAAAGATTTTTTAACATTTTATAAATAATTAGTTTTGATTATTTTAATGGAAATATACTGTCTTATGAATTATTCGAGTACTCAAATCACTTAATTCAGGTTGCGTTTATCTACTGTCATTGACACTGTTTTAGTTTAATCAGTTTAATTTGTATATACTTGTACTCAAGACTAGAATAATAAATCATTAGTTTGTAAAACCATTATAGTTTTATTAATATGTTAGTGTACTCGATCGAAGTACATTTTTAATTATCGTTCCTAATATAATTGTCAAAACGATAAAAAAACTTTAAAAAATTAATTTTGTAAATAGAAATTAATTAGTTAACTAAAAATAGTTTTAAAATTGTGCCACAATCGATATCTTGTAAATGTTATGAAGAATACAAATGTTTTTTTAAAACTTAAATCTGAGTTTTCCAAGAAATGTACTTTTAGAAGTAGAAACATATGCTTTTGTACAAAAGTAGGGCCTGTATGCGTTTTATAAGTTAAAAATATGAAATATTAAAATACAATAACCTGTTTAGGTACCTGTTTGTTGTGGTAATTTTAATGTTATTTTATCGAGAAATTGCATATAAAATGGGCCAATTACTACTGCTAGACATTGAATAACGTAGTAGCGTTCAATGAAAATAAAAGTGCGCTTTTAGATAATAATAGTATACAAATAATAAGTTATATGGACTGTTCATATTATATAGCTGTATGGATACAATTATATAGATCAGTAGAACCTATATATTAATTTGTTTGTTATCATTTTTACACCTAAAGGCAGTTCGATTGGCGCAGCTGTGACTTATATAATGTGCGGATATGTTATTGCTATGTTTGGCTGGGAAAGCGTTTTTCATCTTACCGGAGTATTAGGGTTGTTATGGTACATTTGTTGGACGATTCTTATATACGAATCGCCAGCTGAGCATCCGACTATTGGTCATAAAGAAAGGGTGTATATAGAAAACAGCATTGGAAAAACTGTGAAAATGCAATCTAAACTAGTAAGATGAATATAAATTATTGTTTGAAAAGAGTGTATGATACGATCATAGTTATTACTTAATAGTATACTCATGTATAGGGCTTTAAAGTTGTTCAAATGTTTAACTACAAAAAAAAAAAATGTTACAGTTGCCAATACCTTGGAAATCAATGCTCACATCAAGGCCATTGTTAATTAATGCGCTCACGCAAAATGGAGGAGTTTGGGGATTGTTAACGTTAGCAACGCAGTCTCCTACATACTTTAACTTTGTTCTCGGACTAAATATAAAAAAGGTAATTTGAAAAAGATGGCATTGTTGTAATTTTGTTATTTGTGTAGGTTAAAAAAAAAATGTTTTTAGACAGGATTATGGTCTGGCATGCCATATATCGCGCGATGGCTTTTTGCATTCGGATTTGGTATGTTTAGCGATTTCTTAATAAAGTCGAAAAAATTGACCATAACAAATGTACGCAAGCTGGCAACAATTTTGTGTAAGAATATCAATCGTTTTTACTCTGTTTTTTTACTAAGTAATTTGTTGAAATTAGTAACTCTTTAGGCAATATTTGCCAAGGATTATTTATTTTAGGAATTTGTTTTTGCGGATGTAACTCAACGGCTGCTATCATTATGGTTACTCTAGCTACAGCTGTGAATGGTTCGGTTTCTTCTGGACCGTTAGCAGGAGTAGTAGATCTAGCGCCAAATTATGCTGGTTCGTAAGAACAATATTATTCCTAATAACTACATAGTTTTAGTTTATTATCTTACCGGCTTCAAATAGTTTATTTAGAACTGTCGACGAAGAAAATAAATTTAACACGTTTTTTCGTTTGTCTTATCAAATTTACCAATGGAAAAGTTTTTGCTACTAAATATAATAAGGATAAAGTAAGAATATTAGTAAGAATAAAATGGAGACAATCGTGTTTGATTTTGGAGAAAGTTGTAGGGCAAGACAGGTGATGCAGATAGGTTGGTGGGTTGATAGGTTTAAGTACTTAGGATCAGTAATGCGAAAAAATTGTGGGTATAAGGAGGTCGTGAAAAATAGGATAAATTGTGGTTGGATGAAGTAGAGGGGAACGTCAGGTGTTTTGTATGGCAGGAGGATGCCTATATGATTGAAAGGTAAATCTTATACGACGGTACTAAGGCCAGCAATGTTATATGGGTCGGAATATTGGGTAGACAAAAAAACCGAACAGCGAAGATGAAAATGCTAAGATAGATGAGTGGAGTGACTAGGAAGGGTAGAATAAGAAATTAATACATAAGGAAAAGTCTAAAAGTTGCATCAATTGTGTGGAAAATGTGATAGGTTGAGATGGTGCGGTCATGTTATGAGAAGAGTTGAGGGAGAGGCAGTGACAGGAGTTATGAAGATGAATGTAAAGGGAAAATCAACTGGGGTGATTGATCGAGATGTAGAAAATCGAGCTCTATGGAGGTGTAGGACTAGGGTGGCCGACCCCATGTAGTTAGGAATTTAAGCCGAAGATGAAGAAGAAGTCACTATTCCAAAAACAATTTTGTAATTACTTATTACCTATAATATTGGTATGTTAGCAATATTAAAACTTTAGACTTCAGGTTATTACAGTTAAATAACCAAAAATCGTCATTATTAAACTTATTTGTTTGCCCAGTTCTGAGGTATGGGTGTAGAATTGTAACTCATATTATTATTTATTTTACAAAAAAAACAAAAGTTTAAATGGTTTCTATAGGTATTATTTTTATATGTATTTATGTATGGATTTAGTAAAAAAAAAATGTATATATTGTACTATTGTGCTTTAGGGGAAACGTAAAAGGTGAGCTAAGTTTTATAAAAATTAAAAGTAGTAAATAATATATTATAAGTCTTGAAATAGAAATGCAGGATGACCACGAAAACACTTTACATTTTCAGAAAGGAAAAATAATATTAATTTAAAAATTTTTTTTTTAAACTTATGTAACATGTTTGTGGGTGTATGCAATTTATTTTACGGTAATTTTCGAAAAAAAAAAATTTAACTTGATATTATGTAATATTATGTCATAAGTGTACGCCATTTATATATAAACCTTGTACTTTGGATGATTTGAAAGCGGCAATTCGTACATAGGTGACACTAATCACAAGGGAGACAATAGAATGAGTGTGAAAGAACTTCTTTGAGAGAATTGAAAATTGCCTCATGGAAGACGGACATCACTTTCCTGACCTCATTTTTGATACTTGAAGTAAACGGCTTACACCCACAAACATAATATTACATAATATCAAGTTAAATACATTTTTTTTTCTTTCGAAAATTGCCGTAAAATAAATGGCATACATCCACAGACATGTTACCTAAGTTGAACAATTTTTCTTTTTAAAAATTAATATTATTTTGCCTTTTTGAAAATGTAAAGTGTTTTCGTGGTCACTCTGTACTTAATATTTATGCGCCTTCAAATTACTTAGCATATTATACTTAAAATGGCTATTAGATAAGTTTTTGTCAACAATTTCCTATCCTTAGCCCATAATACATAGCTCTTTTTTTTGTCCTTAAAACGTCAATAACCTAGGCGAGTTTTTAGTGTTCTTTCATTATATATTATTCGAATTTAGTTAAAATTAATTCATTTTTTTCAGGTGTGATCCAGGGAATCGTAGGCACTATTACTGTATTCTGTACATTTTTTTCTCCAATTTTAGTCGGAATGTTTACATTGCATCAGGTAAATTCAATGTTTTTTTTTTAAATTAAAATACAAATAGAAATTAATATATTTAGTAAACATGTTTGTTTTAGCAAACTTTAGGACAATGGAATAAGGTATTTTTTTTGACTTCGGGCATTTGTTGTTCAACTGGACTATTATATGTTTTTTGCGGCGATTCAGAAATTCAAAATTGGAATTATAAGTACGACGTTTCAGTGTCCAAAGATAAAGAAATGAAACTCATAAAAACAAAATCTGATAACAAAACAAATAAAAATATAAATAATGTTTAGCAAGTATTACTTATTTTTAATTTTGATAAAAACACAGAATAAATTATATTAAATGAGACATTAATAATGTAAACAAAAATGTAGTGATTAAAAAAGATAGGACTGAAATCCGGATATTTCCATCACTAGTGAATATAAATTACATATATTTATAACTCGTCCAGTTAATCTTGATACCAGGCGACCGTTACGATTTAAAAGTTGTAGGGGTCAGCAAAGAACTATATGTGAAGAGGAGCTGTTACCACATTTCTTTTAGAGTTAGTATTAATTATTGAGTATTACAGTTTTTATATAAAACAATTAAAACAGATATTATTGATGGTAACCGCGTTCAATACATTTTTGTCAATTATCAATTTGATCATACTTATTACTATCACTAACTGCACCAGTGATTTTCAGTGGTAAAAACATGTTTACGCCAACACCCATTATAAAATTAAAAGAAAACAATATTCCGGAGGGCAAGACGGTGCGTTTTTATTTTTTAAATTAATTTTTTGAATAGTTACAGTAATTTTAAAATGTTAAAATAGTCAGTATTTCTAAACTATGTATTAAGCGTTAAATGTACTTAAGATAATGAAAAAAACGCACAGTCTTGCCCTCCGGAATATTGTTCTCTTTTAGTTTTTTAATGAGTGTTTTTACTCTAAAACCAATTTTTTTGAAGTTGTAGCGTTTAAAACGCTGTGATAGTCCAAAATATAAATAACTACCAAAATAGAGTCCTAGTTATTGAACTAATAATTGCACATCACAGTTTAACCTTTAAGTTAAGATTTTGTAAAAAATTGTCTATACTTTACACCTTAAAATGGGCTGCGCTGAATTATGTAAGTATTAAAAAGTGAAATATGTGGCTAGACGCCTCAACGAAGCACACTATTCTTTCATGTAGCTAGATTGCCTACACTCAGCGCCGTTTTTAAATCAGGCGTTTCTTGTCCAATACAAATAATATAATGATGTAATATTCGATTTCAAGATTATAGTAAATACCATAGCTATATCCTATACCTAGGTATAAAGGGCGTAGTTTAGCTACAGATGAAACCTGGGCATTATTTGAATATTTTTAAACCAATTTCTTTATGTATCATGTTACAGATCAGAAATCATACATGGAACGTACTTTATAGAGACAAATATTTAAACCTTTTTTCCTCCTCTTTCCCTTCAAATTTGAGAAAAACATCCAAAAGTTTGCGCCAAAACGTCTTTATAACATAATTAAAACGTGTTCTTCAACATTTTGAAAACAATTATATTTTTTTGCTGTAAAAGTAAACAAATTAAATAATAATAATAAAAAAAAAATACATTTTCAAACTTATTTAGCTAAGATAATTAGTTCATAAAACAATTACTATAAAGTAAAATTTTCAATATTTTTAACCACCTTGTTTATAGCAATGTATTCACATTACAGGTACTTACTTAAATTAGAATTCATCAGTGCATAATTATTGGGGTTTTATTGACGATACTGCTATCTGTAGGTTATTCAATGACCAAACAAATTAAATACATATTAAACTAAGAATATAATGCAATTAATTAAAGTTTTCCAGACACAAAGTAGTTATTATTGTGTAAAATATCGATCAATGACATTCCATTAGATTTAAATAATTTAAATGCAAATTACTTACGAGGACATGGTGTGATTGTGCACTACTAAATAGAAATGTGTACAATAAACAAACAAAAAAGAAGTATAGTTTAAACCTATAGAATATAAATCATGTCGTAACCAGTACAGTTCAAACCAAACACTATTTAAAGTCATTGCAGTTCAACTAGTACAGTATAAAACAAGTACAGTTCATACTAGTATAGTACAAACCCAGTATAGTTTAAACCAGTAATGTTCAAAACAAGCCTAGTGTTAACCAGCAAAGCCGTAATCAGTAAACTCCCTACTAGTATAACTTAAACCTGTAGAATATAAATCAAGTTCCGCCCTAACCAGTACAGCTCAAACCAATCACAGTTTAAACCAGTACAGTATAAACCAAGCTCAATTATAAATTAGCATAGTGGTTCAAGTAGGTTATTTAATTTGATTTAATGGCTTCGATGCGAATCTGTATATAGTATAACCTCATATCACAGTCTAAATCAGTACAGCTTGAACCTGTAAAGTATAAATTAAGTTCTATTTATACCAATACAGTATATACTAAGTACAGTACAAATTAGTAAAGTTTAAACCAGTATAGTACAATCCAAGTACTGTCTAAACCAGTACAGTTGAAACCAAACACAGTTAAAACCTGCACAGTAAGAAATTATTGAAGTGGCGTTCAGTATCCACAGATTCACATTGAAACCGTTTTATCAATGTGGTTTTATATTTTCTACATATAATTTGATTTCGAGTACTAGAATCTAGTTTGGACGATTTTTTTAAAATGTTTGTGTAGTTGTATAGTACTCATATAATAGTCCTTATACTAAACTTTGAATTCCAAATTCCAAAATAGCTTTCAAAATACAAACTTTAAGATTTTTCGTGTTTTTCTTTAATAAAAACATTTTTTGAGTACAGATTTTTTTTTTACAAGTTAAAAATTTAAGTTTTAGTTCTTAAGTCTTAAAATTGCGCCTAAAATAAAAAAAAACGAACATTTCCGACCCCCCCCCCCCTTAGGAGGCGGGGGTTTGTCAAAAGTTGGGTTTGAGGGCATGCGTGGATAAAGGCATGCCTATTCAATGTTCTATACAAATTTTCACTATATCCGACCGTTTTTCGCTAAGTATAGGGACTTAAAGTTATAAGTTGAAATACCGGCAAATTTTATTCGGGTTTTTCCCGGTTTGAGGGGTGAAGAAGTTAATTTGATCGACTGTTGACCCACCGAAGTACCACCATAGTAATATATAAAAAATACTTAATTACAATTATTATTATATAAATTTTTACATATTGTTACTAGCTATTGTTAGTTTATAAAGTACTTATTACTATTTTTAATTTTTGACATTTTTGATAGGAAGAATCGCTATACAAAAAATACTTAATGGAGTAGTCTTCAATAGTAGAAAATTCAAAATTACCGTCTGATGCACCGGACTACTCTAGATTATAAAATGCAAAACGATAAAAATAAAAAAATATATTGCATAATTTAAAGGTACCAAGGTTTTCAGTTCAATTAGATTGTCCCCAAACTATAAAAAATCAATTTTGTTATCGCTGTCTACAATAGTAGACAACGCGACAACTCTAGTGTTAAACAGTGATTGGTTATATTAAAACCAATCAAAGATAGTAATTTTGAGGATTCAATAAGGCCATTTAATACTTAAGTCGTGTATGAACATAACTACTGCAACATTTTTTATAACTCACATGTGAAACCCAGTTGGAATATTTTAAAATGTTACGGATCTCTTGAAATGGGCATATTTAATTTATAACATACTAATTTAAACAATTTATACTAAATATTATCAATCAGATTTATATATGAAGAACAACTCGATGATCACTGATCAGACTATTGACCCAAACTCAAGATGAGATCTGTCAAGAGAAAAGTATGTTTTCAAAGCTTTAATATTTTTAAAAGTGCTTGTGTTTCTGGTAATAAAACCTAGTATCATAAAAGCTTTTTTAATAATAGTTTTTATGTGTAATGAAAAAGACATATTACAATCTCTAAGTGTCTAAATAGAAATATATAATATCCACTATCCTTTTTCTGTCCGACGCAAATTTGTAATTATTCTTTTAGAATATTATTTTTTTCTTTTGTTTTTATTATTTATTCAATTAAAATAGCATTTAATAATTTATATGTATGTACACATATTAGTCATTGCACAATTTCGAATACATTAACAGTTTACTTTTATTGTACTTTTAACTGATTTTCTATTATTTACGAGCACATTTCATTTTATGACTAGATTAATAAAAAATTGTACAAATTGGGCCTAGAGTAGGCTTCTTAGCTTTACTGGAGTTACCCTAAGAATCTTGCTTCCACGCTTCTCCTCCCGTGACTATGAGCCCATTTTACATTAATTTTAAGCTTACACTCATTAGGCGTTAGTTTTGGTACTCGCTTTGTATGGGGAATATAACAGTAGTCATATAGATGCTCCAAATCTTGTAAAAACAATTCAGTAACCCAATAACACCAGGCTACGTAACATTTTTTTCTTGTCATTACATAGGATTAATTTTGCAAGAATACCTACAATTTTATCCAGGACTAAGTGAGATAGCAATGTTCTCTTAAGTATTTAGACTATTTCTGTTTCTTTTGCGTCAATTTTTTCTATTAATTAATAATATTATTAAAATTTTATGCTATATTGTTATTTTAAATAAAAACCATTTTGCATTTAAATTTGTAAAATAACAAATATATAACCACAAAATATGAACACTTTTTTATCAATTCTTTTGATTGAATCAGAAATTACCACATATACATCATATATAAAATATGATAATACTATTGATATATTTGCAAAGCAAAATTCGCGTTGAAAAATTTAATTTGTTAAAGTATTTAAATGTATTAATTTAATGATATTTTAAGTGTAATACGAGTATATACATTTTTATTAAAAACATAACCACTTTTTTAAAAACTACTTCATCTCTTAGGACGTATTTGTCCTTATGCAAAGGTGCTAAATAAACAGTGTCCCAGGGCGCCAAAATTGTAAATACGTGTCTGTTTCTACTGATGAATGATGATAAAAAGTAAAAACAACTTTTTCTGAGGTGCATTATGGATATCTTACATCAAGCCAGTCCACATTCGGAGTTATTAAAATGACGTAAACATATTATTGTAAAATATGCTGAATTAAAGTTGTAATTGTATTGTATAAAACAACAGTTAATTGTATGTTGATTTTTGTAATCTCTTTACTTTTTATTTGGTGATATTAACTGCTTTAATTGTTTTCTGTTCGAGTCTATTTCCACTTAATGTATTAATCTAGAGTAGTTATTGGTAGGATGTAGTAGTCTGCTAGTAAACTTAATTACTAAACCCGAGATTTTCTTTAACTGTAAAATAGCAACAGACAGAAAATGTTAAGTCAGTATATTCATTATTTTTTATGTGTACAAATTAAATTCATTACATTATAATATAAAAACTTTAATTTTTAATTTAAGTGGATCTAAATATTTTATTGTAGTGTTCTACTATTATTGTTGTAATGTTGTTTTAAAACATATATGTACATAAATATGACGTCTTATATAATTTTTAGAAAGAACAATATTATGGTATATGACGTTTTGGGGGTTTGCGATGAACTACATGCTTCGTATGAACCTCAATATAGCAATTGTGTCGATGGTTAGGTCGGTGCCAAAGATTGAGAATACAACTGCGCCAGTTAGTGAGTGTTACGATACGCTGGATCCGCCAAGCAAGAAGTTTTTGAACTCATCGATATCAAAAATTTTGAAACCTGTAGACAATGTAAGTAAGATATAATATACTTTTTATTGGTGAAACCAAACATTAATAACTTACAAAGTACATTAAATAGATCAATATTATTATAAATTAATGTTATTCCTCATATTATAGCATTTATATATTTTTGAACTATTTTAATATTAAATTTGTTGAAATCATATTTTAGCAGAAAATCAAACAATTTGACAATATTTTTTTAAATTTATCAATTCAATAATATTTTCTAAATAGTATTTAAGGAGTAGGAGGGTGGCCGAGTGAGTAAAGCAGCAGTGTGTTAGCGTTCACTGTCGCTGGTTCGACACACGGTGAAATAGAGCCGCCACGCTTTCCGTCTCTCCGGTGACAGACGACCCGTCCCGGATAGCGAGTAACCATCCTAGCTAGTAGCCATCTAGTAACCATCCTAGCGTTGAGCCTCGTGGCCTGTTAATCGCATGGTGATAATGATTTATGTGATATTTTCTATGCACTATTAATTTTAAAATGATACATATTCATGTTTTTAAATCTTAAATTATAAATGTTTTTTAATAGCATTGCGGGATTTATTTTTTTTTCCACCTAAATAACATGTATAAGTATTTCATTGTAATCTTTATCAAGTAATTTTACCCACAAAGATTACTATTGTCTATATACAACAGAGCAACAAAAAAAAAATGTATACAATAAAAACGATTAGTGATATGGTTTTATAAAATTTAACTTTACTTGTTGTACGGAATTTTACTTAGCAAAGAATACTTTAGGCGAATAGTTGTGAAATTTAACACTTACTAAACTGAAAGACATAAAAAAACACGTTGACAAATTAATACCTCGTTCATTTCAAAGTTAAAATAGATCATATTTTCTAACTTAAAAAGGATATTATGTTATGTTAGTTATTAGCATTTTCCAACTTTATAACTGTATCATATGTTAAATTTGTTTGTACAAATGTATTTCTTTAACTAAGAAATATTTGTAATAAACTATTTATTTATAATAAAAAAGCTGAAAAAGTGAGATTTTTAGCAATAAATTAAAAACAATTGTTGGGCCAAGGTACAATATTTTGTTACCATTTTTAGAAAAAATTTTAATTTAAACGTTGATAAACTGTACTATATTATGATGCGTGGGTTCTCATTCAGATAATACTTGTAGATTATAAATCTAAAATAAGGTTACTATTAAAAAAGAAAAATATAAATAAATGCTGGTTTACATTAAATTGTCTAAAAAAATACACCAAAAGTTTGTATAATCTCAAAAATAAAAAATAAATAGTTTTTTTAAACTAGAAAAAAAATAGAATTTAAAAATGTTTTTTATGGTATAGACATTAAAACAAAATTTAATTAAATATATGTACAAAATGGTTAAATGACATTTCGAGCACTTGTGCAGTTTGCAGGTATATAATAATTGAGCTCGATATCAGAAAATTATTTTGATAAGATTTGTTATTAGGTAAAAATATAAAGTCTGTCAATGGTTTATACAGGGTTTTCTTACAAACTATGATCCATGTTTTAAATAAGTTCTGCCATCGTAGAGATCAATGCATATATCAATTGTGACTTCAAAATATCACGCTAATATTTTATATTTTTTCGCAATAATTACATAAATTATTTGTTATCTTATTTTATAAAAGTATATGAAATAGAATTAATTTAGTAATAGAAAACAAGAATTACATAACCATTGGAGTGGTTTTATATTTTAAAGATATAATCCTTATGAAGTACATAATACATTTACACGTTCTGGCGTAAAATCACGAACAAGGTCATCTTGAAAGATATTGTACAAGACCTATGGCGCGAAACGTAAAACTGTTTTGAACGTTAACTTCATATTTCTACTAACAAAAAATGAATTGGGCTCCCTTAATTGTATGTACATAAAAACAGGAAATTACCAAATTGTGTAATTTAAAATTTGTTTATGTACTTAAAAAAAAATAGCTTCATTGAAATAAGTATTTGAATTATTTAATTTTTAATTATTGCTGTTATTACTTTTATCTAATCTACGACTAACGAATTAGTATAGATATATTGTTTGTGTTCAGTTAGAGATGCATATAATACAAAAAATATTACTGGGATTAACTTAAAACTATAATCATTTAGCAAGTGTTAAAAAATATCATTTTTTTATCAATGCAGGAATTTGAAGTGATGTGTTACAAATATAATTATGAGATTTTTGCACATTGGTTTCCATAACGTTATTATGTTCATAATAATAACTATAATTGAATAATTGTTATTTTATAAATGTTTTACGTATTCATGCACAGCATAGGAACAAGATCTAATCCAACATTTAACGATTTAGATTTTAGGAGATTTATTTTTCTCTACAAATAATTTAAATTGATAGTTTTGTTGCCTGCATAATATTGTACAACTGTACGAGTATAAACACAGTTAAGTGTAGAAGAAACTTGAGCAACTTATGGTTATATATAATAGACTATAGAGGAACAAGTAAACCCATTACTCAAAAATGATGGTAAGAGAAGCAATTGAAATAGAAAAGCCCACTAAATATTAACAGAGAAAATTGATGGAAAATGAGTAAGACGTGGAAACCAGTAATACGCCAACTAAAAAGAGGTTGAGAGAAATGCACGGTATTATATTATAAATTTTAAAAATATATATATATATATTTGTTTATGGGGATTAAACTTCGTATTTCAAAATTAAATTAAATTTCTGAACGATATAATAAGAGTTTAAAATATATAATCAATTTTTACTTTTTTTCAAACTTTTTCTTTTGTTTTTAAAAAATGTTATCAAGTATAATACCCCTGTAGGTAGACTACTTTCTTTTTAAGCAAAAAGAAAAAAAAATAATCGAAATCGGACATCTCTACGACCCCTTTATAAATAGCCATGCTCAGGGCCTTTTTGTATACTTAAAGGATAATAAAACGAGTAATTTGTATGCATTACAACTGTACTGTACATTTAAACATTATCTATTTGGCTTTGTTCATAATATAGTATTAACAGTTTTTTGAATTCAAAATAGGACAATACTTTTGAATGGGATGAAAATCTTCAAAACGAAGTTTTAGGAGCTTTTTATTGGCTACACACTGTGTTGCAAATTCCTGGCGGAATCTTGGCTCAAAAATATAGCGCTGCATTTATATTTGGCGTGACTAATGGAATTGTTGCCCTTCTTACATGTATAATACCTTACACTACTCAGTGTCATTACAAGGTATTAGTGACCATAAGGATAATTCAAGGGTTTATAGCAGGAGCTTCATGGCCCGCTATGCATGCGTTAACTGGTCAATGGGTACCACCGAATGAGAGAAGCCAATTTGTGTCATCTTATTGGGGTAATACTATGATTATTTATTATTAAAAAACAAAATTCTTATAAATTCATGTTTTTAATCAAAAAACTAGTGACAATAATTTTATCATTTAACGCAGTTTTAAAAAAAAGTACCTAGTTATTTGTTTTTTTACAATGTATAAGAATTTTGTATATGTTCAATTTATCTATCTATTAAATATCAGCTATCACATTTGGTGTTGGTTAAAGGTTGCTCTTTCGGAACAGCTTTGACGTACATCGTCTGTGGTTATATTATAAATTGGTTCGGCTGGGAACTGGTTTTTTACATAACCGGAGCCATAGGTTTACTGTGGTATGCGTGCTGGACTTGGTTAATTTACGATTCTCCTGCTAAACATCCGTCCATTAAAGATAAGGAACGAATGCATATTGAAAAAAGTTTGGGAACTACTTATTTAAAAAATCAAACGGTAAGATATTTGTTGTTGTTTCGTAAGTACAACCATTAAATTATTTAAATTGTTATCTATTTAGTCATCAATACCTTGGAAATCAATGTGTATATCTGTGCCTTTGATATCTAATATTGTGTCACAAATTGGATCCACTTGGGGAATGTACACTTTATCCATTCAGGCGCCTACTTATTTTAGATTCGTATTAGGTTTTGATTTGAAACAGGTAAACCTATACTGTTGTCCATTGTTATATAATCTTTAACATAATGTTAAAAATATTCCCATTCCTATTTTAGGTAGGTATTTGGACTGGGATACCACATCTATTTTCTTGGCTATTCTCGCTCGTTTGCGGTTATGGATGTGATTTCTTGATCAAATCTAACATGCTTTCTACAACAAACGTCCGGAAATTAGCTTGCATTTTCTGTAATATAGTACAAGGCCTATTTATTTTGGGACTGGCATATTCTGGCTGTAGTTACACATTAGCCATAATAAATTTGGTATTTGCTGTGGCTATGAATGGTGCGATGTCTTCTGGACCACTGGCGGGCATCGTAGACCTAGCTCCTAATTATGCTGGCATAATGCAGGGCATTGGTGGAGTGATATCTATGGGTGCTACAAGTGTATCTCCAGCTATTGTAGGATTCTTCACTTATCAGCGGGTAATATAAAACGATACAATTATACATTTTTAACTAGAAAAAACTTTAGCAACTTATAGTTATACATAATATACATGGTAGTAAAGAAATAAATAATTAAACCCTTAAATATAAAAATAATGAACTCTATGCGTATACGTGTTTCGATAACAATGTTGTCATCTTCAGCGCTAGCAACGACGTTAGTGAGTTCAGTCTGTCGTTAGCGCTGAAGATGACAACATTGTTGCCGAAGTATGTATACGCATAGAGTGTATTATTTTTATGGTTAAGGGTTTAAAAATAGGTTACTACCTAATACTACTTAATAACTTAAGAAAATAAGTTTACTGTTTACTCCTAGCACATTAAACAAACCTGCAACAAGTGCCCGATTCGATTCTACTGTATCATTATTTGATTTGGACAAATTAAAAACAATCACATTTTTGACTTAGATCTTGAGCTTTTTTAATTACATTTTAAATTGTCCGAAAAAGAGGATAAAGTTTTCTCATTTTGTAATTAAAACACTTTTTCATGCAGATTTTTAACTTCGGTACAACAAGTAGCATTTTTTTTTAAAGCGTGTCAACCTCAGATTTAAGGTTCTCAATAAAAATTTTCAATAGTTTTAAGGCATCTTGTAAGTTGTTATATGTAATTAAAGGTTTTGTAAACAATAACTCAATAAAGCTCTGTTTATTAGAGAGATGAAGTGTATGGTGTAAAAAATAAATCAGCTAAAAAACATATGCGTATGTGGGTACTTATAAGCACTAAGTTCGTCCAGATAGGTAATATGTAATTTATATATGAATGCAAATTGCAATGACCATATAGTTGCTGCCAATACTATGTAAACAAATTGTGAAACAAAACTAGTAGATAGGGTTCAAGTTCAATATAGTACACAATTAACATTGTTATTATACTCAGTGATTTTTTTGTAAATAAAAATTATCATTTATACCGAGTTGCATGGACGTCCATTTGAGGTTTAATAAATCAATATCCATTTAGTGACTCATGATTAGTGCTTTAGGTACATTTACAAAAAGTGATTCAATTCGTAATAACTTTTATGCAACCCTCCTTTCATTAACATGGATTAATGTACTACTTGAATTATTCATTGTAAATTACGTTTTACTTTTTATTCACAACACAATTAAATGGTACAAACATAATCCTTAGAGTGAGATCAATAGCAAAGCAATATATATAATATTACTACTTATATTAATACTAACTATTAAATATATGTTTCATGTAGTATTAGTTGTTATGATAATTGTTAGTTAAGTGCTAGTTGAAAAGATTTCGACGTTATATAATAGTTTGATAAGTGTTTACTATTTGATAGTTGTTCTAACTTTTTTACATCATTATCATAACTCAAATCTTCAAAAACAAAATAATAAAAATCCTCATAAAAAATAAATGTAAAATAAATACCTATTTTAGTATTTTAAAATATAGTATAATTAAAAATTGTTGTATTGTTTACCATAAAATACAATAATAGTGTGATACTATTAGCATAAGTAACACTCAACCATGGATTTCAGTGAGATATAAAAAAATTGTTTTAAAGGAAGTGGTATATAAGTGTAATGAATTTAAAAAAGCTATTTCTCACTACTACAAAAATCAACGTTTAAGCCCTTTTAAATTAAAAAAAAATTTCTATTTTTAAAACATATTTTTTTCAAATTATTGCAAAACTATTTCCGGGTACTATATATTTATAAAAGATTTAAGATTTAATCCCTCTAGTGTGAGCCACTGATAGTTTTACATATAAACCGAGGTCAGTGATTTGGTACACTGCGTCATACTAGAATATGAACCGCATTTTTCGACATGATTTGATGTTTTTATTTTAAATAAATATGTTTAAAACGATTGAATAATATTTAAATCTTCGTTAAAAGACACAATTTTTAAGCATTTCATTTTTACCATTTTAGTTACCAAAAATTAATATTTGTATTAAAATTATTAATATTTTATTCTAGCAAACTATTGGTCAGTGGCAAAAAGTTTTTATTTTGTCAACATCATTGTCTTGGATTACTGGTTTAATATACTTAGTGTTTGGAAGTTCTAATCTTCAAAAATGGAACAGCAAAGAAAAAAAGAAAAAATCTGAAACAGCAACTATGCTATGAATTCGACTACGCTGTCCCTGAAAATCCCTATGTGTGTATTATAGAAATCGTGTATTATAAAAATGTGCAAATGTATACTTATATATTATATAATTTACTTATAATAAAAACAATATTTTTACTTTTTTTGTTTACAATAGGTAATAATTAATTATATTTTATGTATTGTTTTATTTTTTAATTTTTACGTTCACATTGTAACTATTAAGCCGATTCCAGCTTTTTGCTTTCCTACTCAATCAATTTTTTTCTATTAATAATTATTATCATTGTACCTATGGCTTATTTCGACCTGGTGTAGACTTAAATGGCCTAAGTTTGGTCGTCTCAGGGCACAGGGGAAGATAAAAGTTTATCTTTTTAGCAGATCCCTCAGATGGACTACCCTGCGCATTTCCCAATGCCCAGAGAAAGAGACTACCTATCACTAATTTTGAGTGATGAACTGGTGGAAGTTAGCGCACTGTCACCTTACCAAATCAACTACTTGTCCTCTATAATTAATTTATCAATACGAGTATAGTGAGTCGTTGTCTCATTTTAGTTCTTTGTCATTATTTTGTTTTTTATCCTAGTATCAAATGTGTTTATTAATTTGTTAATAAACATAACACAACTAATTAATTTAAATTAATAATATTACCCCATTTTAAAGATATGCTAATACTAGATTAATTTAATAACACTAGTACGGCTAGAATCTCAGCTATTTTCACAGTTTTAAAGAAAGAAGTAAAAAGCCGAGACTGCTGTAAAAAAGTCGCTTTTGAGGCTATATATTTTTTAGTTATTATTTGATTAAAATTGGCTAAATCTAGATTACATAAATAGGTACAATATAGGTATTCGTAAATTTTATAAAATTTACAATTAAGCTCCATCTCAGTAAAACATAAGGCATTTTCTTGCAAGCATGTGCATTTTCTTTATTAACTCGATTCAAAAATTTTGATTAGTTACAGATTGCTACTGAATATAAATAGTATTTAAAAAGGACAAAAAAATAAATTTTTTTTAACGTATAGGTAAAACAAAGATTACTTCTTGGTTGCTAAATTTTTAAAAAGTTAATTTTTTAATTTTGTTTTTTTAACGATTTTAATTAATGCATATGTCGTATAGTAAATAACATTTTTCAACCTAACCTAACCTAACCTTTAGCAATAGCTTGTTTCTCATAAGTATACTTGATAATACAGTTTTTTTTTATAAATATAATAATATATTAAGTATTATTGGCGACGGATTTTTTTGGACAGAGCATTTGTCAAGAAATCATCTCATGATAGCAGCATTGGGCCTTTAAGACCTGTTAAATTAAATGGTGATGTATTTGTGTAATGATGATAATATATATTGTATTATCTAAAGTCTAAACGTCAACTATTGTATGCTATGTACGTTAGGTCAACCATAAATCAAATATAAGTATAGTATATTTAATCTATGGCTTATATTATGATAATAGTATAATATATTATTTAAGTCATATAACAGTAAGAGTCGCTTATCCGACAGTTGCCGACATTATCCAAAGAGCGTAACTTTCACACTGTTTAAGCCCTTCTTCGTCTTTTCGCAAAAAAAGAGACTTTGGCCAATGTATTTCTTATACCCAAAAATCCTTAAATACCAACGTTTGGGAAAAATCTATGGACGGGTTTTGTGAAAAAATACAAATATTTATAAACATACAAACTTATATTTCCCGCCTTTTTTCTTTATCTGCTTTATCAATATAAAAACGTTATCAAGATGTCTACGGAAGATAACAATATGCACTCGAGTTTTAACAAAAAAGAGTAAATAAATATAATGGGCGAGTAATATTTGTACCACAAATTTTTTCTTGCAATGAACATTTGTTCTACATTTTTTGTGGAACACTCATTTAAAAAAAAATGATCGTGGGCGGTGGGCCAAACGTATACTGGAACAATTACAATTTGGACATAACTGTTTAGCGGAAAAATAGGTGGTTGGAACAAATGTCTATTGGAACAAGCCATAATCTTGGATAATAGTGTTATTAGAACAAATGTCTCATGGATTAAAAAAATGTGTGGAACAAAAGGGTTTTTAGGATTTGTGATCCAGATATAATATATTATATTAATTATTACAAATCAAATGTATTAAATTATCTATATTCATTAATAATCTATACATTACAATTGTTCGAAAAAAATAAACAATACATTTTATGAACATTAATTTGTCAATACTTCTTGGTTGAACCTCAGCTTAGGTGGATTGGTTGTTATGAATTATCAGTTTTAAACTGATGTCTTGTGCTTTATAATTTGCATTCAATTTTAGTAATCTATACAATTTATGGCGTTATTGATTTACAATACCTCGTATAATTTCATTAATTGTTCAGGAGTCACAAAAAACCGATTTATTTCTAATGCTTTAGTAATCCAAACCGATTACTCTACTCTTATGTATTCTAGCGGGATACCAGTAACCTTAACATTTTTAACCTCACAAAGTTTTTATTCTCCTTGAAAATCTGAATACAATGATACCAAAATTTCAATATCGAAAAAATTGTCAGATACGAGGTATTGTAAAATCAGTAACGATGGTAATCACACAAATGTTTTTTCCCCTCAAAAGTTGTTCAATTTTGTTAATAATTGTCTTATCGATTATCAAAGAATAAAGATCTACTCTTACGTTTATTGAAGGTACAATATTTTACGGGTAAGTAAAAGAATTCAAATATTTATGTTTTAAATGCTGACCAAGGTCTTTTAAACTCACAAAATAATATAAACATATATTGCAAAACATGTTTTTGTAATAATCAAACGCAATGATACAAAAATGTTACTAGGTATTTTAATTGTTAATTGTTTTCTTTTTAGTAAACATTAATGTCTTGGAACAACCAGGTTTGTTTTTACAAACTAAAGTAGTCTTGTAGATTATTGTAATTATGATTATAATCTATAAAATATTATTGATATGTTTTTATACCAGCTTGTAAATACAATTTATATTAATTTTTTCTTATATTATACTAAGAATGTATATTAAATGACCAGCCCTATTTTCATTAGATTTTAATTAGATTTAAAATTTACTTTTTTCTTTTACAGGCCGAATTTATCATTGCATGTTATAATTTTCTTGTACAAATTTCCATTGTAAATGGCAGCTTACATAAATCGCACGGTCGCCCTTGGTGATCCAATGATTGATAGCCATAAAACTTCATTGGATGACAAAAATTCATCTCCATTACAGGTATTTGTGCTGGCCAAAAAACAAATTAATCATATATTTGGCGATATTCAAGACTATGTTGCTGATGCATCGGAACGTATGATTGGTGAGTATATAAATTTAAAAATATGATAAAAGTTTATTTATTTAATAAATTATAGTATGTTTTATACATTTTTGTCATAGATGTAAGTACAAAATGTCCAGATGTGATAAACAAAAGTGAATTAACATCTATAATTGATTACACTTCCAAAGTAAAAGGAATTCGTGAGGTACTTACACGTGATCACATGAAAGTTGCTTTCTTTGGAAGGTTTGTTAAGCGTATATAGTATTTTGATGGAATACATAGAGACTACTAATGTATTATTTTTGAATAGCTATATGTTACTTGTATAGATAAGAGTCCTTTAGCGGTATGAACCCATTTTTTAAATCTATCATTAGCTGGAGTTTTTCAACTGATCATTGATTCGATTAGTCAATTATTATCAAACTAATAATTTAGCCAATATTTTTAGAAAAAAAAATTGTCTTTAATTTGTTATTTGTTAATTGGCACAATGATTTTAGCTGAAAAATAACAATTTTTAACGTTTAGCAAATGTCAAATATTGGGTCGGTTTAAAATCTGACAAAATTATCGAGCAATGAAAAAAAATATATCTGCTCATTTCTAGTATGGATACTATTTTATTAAGATTTACAATGTTTATATTATTTTATTATTTGTCAAGGTTACTTGCATTTTAATTGAAATATAATATCTAGGTTTACTAAACAAATTAAAAGGTTATGTGATATTATCTTTTGATTTGGGTGGTAAGAAGTACATAATGGGTTGCTCATTTATGGTATTATTATTAAGTTTGAGTTCATAAACACTTCTACCATTATGATATTTAGTAGCCAAAAAGTAGTGTATAGTATTGTAATGGATTGTACTAATTTTTATTTTAGGACAAGCAATGGAAAGAGTACAGTTGTCAACGCTATGTTGGGAGACAAAGTTTTACCAAGCGGAATTGGCCACACAACTAATTGTTTCCTCCAAGTTGAAGGCTCTCAAACTGGAGAGTCTTATTTAGTAACTGAAGGAAGTGATGAAAAACAAAATGTTGAAGTAAAGAATAATTTTTTACTTTTTAATAAATTTAAAATTGTCAATTATATTTTGTATGTATTCTTCTAGTCGGTAGGCCATTTAGCTCATGCACTGAATTATGAAAAACAGTTGAACGAAAATGAATTGGTACATGTTTATTGGCCAGTTGATAAGTGTGGTTTATTAAGAGACGATGTAGCTTTGGTCGATTCTCCAGGAGTAGACGTTACACCACATTTAGACGATTGGATTGATGCACATTGTATTGATGCTGATGTTTTTGTTTTGGTTGCAAATGCTGAATCTACTTTAATGGTTACTGTAAGTAAATATTTATTGAATATTAGGTATTATTTTTCATAGATGAAAAGTGTATGATTTACAATATTTAAGAATTTATATTATACTTAGTATTTATTTAAGTGTGACTGGCAACATTATACATTTATCAAAAAACACGTAAATTGTTAAAAACTTATAAGGTTACATAAATATATTTTTATTATAGTTTTAACAAAATATAAATTACTAAAATAAAGTTATCATTATAAAAAGTCATTTCAGTAAAGAGTTAACTTAATTAAGTTGAAGCCCTTCATTTGTTCAAAATATGATTACGTTTGAAATGTATATTATAACCATCTCCAACATTCATAGATGGCACAAATGTGTCCTTGAACATGTTTTTTCAGTTTTGTGAATTTGAATTATTTTAGCTTCTTCTTTTATTATTTGTATAAACAATTTGGAATTTATTTTTTGTAAATCTTTTAACTTATTTTCCTCCAAATTTCAAGTAATTATCCATAATCTGTATTCTGTGCCAGTATTATAATGTGTTCTGTATGGAAGATATTTGTTAGATGTCTAAAAGATAGAAGTGAGGAGTTCAGCTTTGACTAAGAGATTTTAAAAAGGATAAGCTCTTGTAACTTACTGATCTCTGTTTAAGATTGAAAAATCAAGATGGGTAATTTTTGTTTTACTTATTAGTTTTGGAGACTCAAAGGTTTTCATTTTAACTGGTTTAATTGAAGAATATTTTAAATTAGGAAACTTCTATTGTAATCACCTAACAAAAAAACCGGTCGGACTTTGGGGTCAAGAAGGTCACATACCACTTTCAAATACCCTAAAGGTAATAGTTAGAAAGAGTAAGAATCTAACACAGTTTAACCCAGTATAGACTAAAACCAAGCACATCATATATCAATACAGAAGAAGTTAGCAAAGTTCGGTCAAAGCAACTATTAAATCTAAGTATAATTTTATTATAATCAAACGCTTCGATATGAAATAGTAAGAATCTAGCAGCATAAACCTGTTTGGACTGTGCTCGATTCAGACTATGCTGGTTTGGGTTGTGTTCGGTTGTTTCGAGTTTTCCCGGTTTTGAATATGAAGGAGTTGACTTTTTCTACTTTTGACCCATCTGCATACAATTTCGGATCTATAGAGGTGATACACGAGTAGTTCGGTCGACAGGAAAAAAGGTATTGTGTCTACGGATACAAAAAAAACATACTTTGACGTGCGGTTATTTTATTTGCTTCCTTGAGTACAGGATTTTGTAATCTTCTTTTTATATTTTGGCGTGTGGATATTTTATGTACTTGCTTGAATATAGGATCTCGTAATCTTCGTTTCATACATTTTAAATTGACTACTTTTTCTATTAACAATTTTTTTGGATTAAGGCGCCTTGTTTGTCGAGCTGCATTATCTATTTTTATCTTTTTTTAGCAACCATTGAAGAAATTACTACAGTCAAAGTGTAATTTTTCCCTATTTTTTGGTTTTTCTTTAATAAAAAAAATGTTTTACTACAGATTTTTGAGAAAATTTTATATGTTATAGCCCCATTCTAGATCTACCTTTGGTCTAATTTTCATACATAAACCCCAAAAACTTTGCATGAAAAAGCGAAAGAAAGAAAAAAATTCCACCCCTTCTAGGAGAAAGGGTGTACGATAATTGCTTAAGTTTTCAACGTTTGTCGGTAGTACTATGTCTTTAGAATATTTTATTACAAATTTAGAACTATTTGGACTATTTTAAAAAAAGATATGGAGCGCCATAATTTTAAGTTGAAAAAAATGTATTTTTTCCTGTGTTTTTCTCGATTTTGAAGGGGAAGGGATGAACTTTTTAAATTTTTTAGTCTAATAAAGTACCTTACAGGTACGATTTTTGATCTTAAGAGCTGCTACGTGAAGAAATCTGTTCAGCGGCTTAAATGATGTCGTGGGTACAGACATAAAAAAATTTAAAAAACCTTCTCAGCTATTGCATCAAAGTTAAAAAACTTAAACCATAAAAGTTGTAATGAGGAAATGTCAACAAGTAACAATATGAAATTTTATTAAAATTATTTTATTTGTTCTTTTTTTTTTATTTTCCTTATTAAAAAAAATGTTTATGTGATACACTAGATTTACACCTTCAGTCTAATTTTCAGACCTCGAGTCTTAAAACCAGAACTACATTTAAAAAAGTGAAATAAAAAAAAAATTTTATTCCTTCTGGGGGAAAGGTTTAATGATACTTTGATTGTTCTTGGGTATTCACTGTTTATCGGCAGTACTACTACTATATATCTTAAGAACATTTACGTTTTGAAATAATTAGACTATTTATCAAAAATCTGTTTAGTGTTTTAAATAGTAACGTGAGTCTAGACACACACAAAAAAAAACAACACTATTGTATAAACAATAACTCAACAGTTCTGCTTCGAAGATAATATTATATTAGTTAATCGTGATGCCAAAAAAAATGTTTTGTCAAATATATTTGTTTTCTGACGCTGACTAAAACTGCCGTACCTATTGTTTCGAAACGTGCGCTTTTGACAGCTGCTGCTAGGCCGTGTTGTACACACTACACGCTATAACTGCATTGGTGTGTATTTTCAATAGCTGTAATACTAGTTGGCAGCGCGCTTTCTACTAGTCCCCTGGTACACGTTGTCTGTCGATGGAAGCGCCGAGCACCAAATTGGACGCAAACGGGCACAACCCCGGCATAGATGGTCTGAGGTCATTGTAGTCAACCGATAGCGTTAAGACATGGGACCCTATTAGCGAATGATGCGAATAAATGTCGTGGCGTCGGTTCCTTGTTTCGATTAGTTGTTGCCCGATCCGACTGTTGCGTCAATCGACTACCAGGGTCCTAGCATCAGCAATGTTTACGGTCACCGTCAACAGAGAGACGATCAAGACACGACCCGACACCATGTTGCCCTGGTAGTCGAAACGCTTATATTAGTCAAGACACTAAAACGATAATTAATTTTAAATGAAAAAAAAAAAAAATTACAATATACACAAAACTATAGTATTTTTGGATTGTTGGGAATCGGTAACTGAAGTTTATTTATTTTCATTAATTTATAATATGTTTATTATTTATTTGGCAGTAGTCTAGGATTTTTTCAACTGTCGTTTAGCTCAACAATATTCAAAAAGCCATACTTACTATTACAATATTATTACTAAAATACTAGTTATTACGATTTTGATTGGCTATTTTGATCTTGTATCCAAGTATTATGTAGAATGCTCATGTATTGAATTGACATTTTTCAGCATTTTATTTTAGTGGGTACAAAGTAGTGCTGGTCGTTACAGTAGCCAATAAAAAATATGCTTTTTAAGTAAATTTATTTAATTGTTATTTACTTGTTTGTTTTAGGAGAAAAAGTTTTTCCACAATGTATCTTCAAAACTATCCAAGCCGAATATATTTATTCTACACAATCGTTGGGATGCATCTGCTAATGAACCTGAGTTCTTAGATCAGGTAAACATTAATGGATAACTATAGTGCCGCGTTAAACCAAAAAGACTAAAATTTAACTTTTAGTTTTTGATGAACTGTTATAGTTATTGGTAGTTTGAGGTACCTTTGAGGGGCTAATTATGATTTAATTTTTTTTATTTATATAATCTTAATTTTATGGTTCAAAAATAGTATAACCATATTAGTAATTTTTCTTAAAAAGCCGCGGCACAATTGCAGGCTATTGTTAAATTTTATGTAGTTTGTAGGTATGAATTTAATTGGTTTTGTAGACGATTAAATTTTGTATTAAACTGTTGTTTGAGCTCACCATACTTTTACCAACAATGCATTTGATTGGAGATGCAGTTATTTTGATTTAGCGCGGTAAAATACATAAAAAATTGACATTTATTTAAACCTCTCCTTTTGTTTGTATTTTACTATCTTCTCATATTTGGTTCAGTTCAATAATCAAGAACAGGTAAGAAATAAATGCTATAGTCTTAATTAAATTCATGTTTTTTAAGAAAAAATTTACTTTAGTATTTTCTATCTTCTATATTAAATTGTATGCTAGTAAAACAAATATTAGTGAAATATAATTAATACGACTGTACTTATTTGGTTTGCTTTTTAAAAGTTGTTTTTAAAACAATATTTTTATGTAATAAACATTTGTGGTTTTAGGTGCGTAAGCAACACACAGAGCGGGCTGTTGATTTTTTGGTGAAAGAACTTAAAGTTTGTACACTTGAGGAAGCTCCTTCACGAATATTTTTCATATCCGCCAAAGAAGTACTTCAAGCACGAGTGCAACAACGGAAAGGGTTAGCGCCAAATAGTGGAGCGTTAGCTGAAGGATTTGCTGCTAGATATATGGAGTTTGAAGAATTTGAACGTCGTTTTGAAGAGTGTATTTCAAAGTCTGCTATTAAAACTAAGTTTATGAACCATTCACAACAAGGAAAACATGTAATTAAGTAAGTCTTCAACTTATCTACAATACTGCATTTTAAAATATTTTGATTTTTATAAACAAGCTCTCGAGATGATGATAATAATTGTTTTGAAAATTATTAGGGAAATGTTTAAAATTATGGAGACGATTTACAGTAGAAGTAAAGAACAAACACACGATAAGACGTGCCAGAAAAAAGAACTCGAAGACAAACTTAACTATACTGAACAACAACTCATAAGCGTAACACAGCAAATGAAGATGAAAATTCATAGTATGGTCGATGATGTAGAAGAAAAAGTAAAATATAAAATTTTACTTAATATTTAATATTAGAAATTGGTATTTTGAAGTTAAATTAAACTGGTTTTATTTCATTCTTTAGGTATCAAAAGCTTTGAATGAAGAAATTCGACGTTTGTCTGTTTTAGTCGACGAGTTTAATTTGCCTTTTCATTCAGATCCGTTAGTTTTAAATGTTTACAAGAAAGAACTTCATAACCACGTCGAGTCAGGTCTCGGTAGTAATTTGCGAGCAAAGCTATCGACAGCTCTTGCTATGAATATAGAACAGAGTCAAAGAGACATGATCCAAAAAGTTTCAACGCTCATACCGGAAGAAAAAAGAAATATAACTGTAGTCAACCCCAAACTCGAACCGTTTGAAGTCTTATATCGTCTTAATTGTGATAATTTGTGTGGTGATTTCCACGAAAGACTTGAATTTAAGTTCTCTTGGGGATTGTCTACATTAGTAACGCGTGTATCATCTTTGGCCAATTGGTCGCGTAATCAATCTAGATCATTAATGGTAATTTTTGTTAAAAAACAGATTTTATAATTGAAATATGTGGCAAGTATGCTATAATGTTGACTATTTATGTTTTTAGTCATCCCCAAGTCATAATCAATCGATTAACACTCTAGATGGATCATTTAACGGCTTTGATTCTAACCGTATTGCCGTTGAACAAAATTTACCTTTAATTTCCCGCATATTAACGGCTTCCATAGGTACTCAGGGTACTATGGGTGGTCTTATATTGGCTGGATTTGTAAGTTTATATTTTGTAACACAATAGTAAACATTTTAATTAGGTGTCACATGTCACTAGATTTTTTTATTTACTATTGTTTTGTGATTTTTTTAGATGTTAAAAACAGTTGGATGGCGTTTAATAGTAGCCACTGGTGGTATATACGGATGCCTTTATTTGTATGAAAGGTTATCTTGGACAACTAAGGCTAAAGAGCGAGAGTTCAAACGTCAGTACGTTCAACATGCTACCGGTAAACTCCGTCTCATTGTCGATCTTACTTCGGCAAACTGCAGTCATCAAGTACAACAAGAACTATCGACCACTTTTGCTAGACTCTGTCAATTGGTCGACGAATCTGCTAGTGATCTCACTGATCAAATGAGGTACATAGATCGTCAACTACAAGTACTTGCCCAGTCTACTGAAGTATCAAAAATATTAAGGAACAAAGCAGAATTTTTAAAATCCGAGTTAAGACACTTTGATGATAATTTCCTAAGCTTAAGAAACTAGTCAGATTTTGTGATATTTCATTTGAGTAACTCTTAATTATTATTTAGAGTAGGTTTCACATTTTGTTTTTATTCTACCATTTCCTTCCCATTCATTCTCAATATAATTGGATTTTTTAATATTTTTCACATTATGATTGTACCAGTTATTATTAATATATTATTATTTCTTTTATCAATCCAACAGTATCATGAAATAATTTATATAACAACTACAATGCTATAAAACAATTATAATTGTTTTGAATAAAATCGTATTTTTGTTTTTTGAAGTGTAAATAATTGCAATAATGTTTGATGAATTAAAAACCTGTTAGTTATAATGTGACAGTTTTAATATTTTGTTGTAACAAGTGTAGTTTTCAATAAACAATTTTATTTATTGGTTGTGTATTTTGTTTTTTAATTTAATTCTTCATTTGTATAACACACGTTTGTTCGATTTTTTAATGTAGCTGGTGTATTTATCCCAATCTCAAAAATTGTATGTTTATTAATGGTTGCAAGTACACAATATTTTGGAAAGTAGTCTTGGTTGTTAAACAATTTCTTTAAATGCATAGTAGAAAGTATTTGAGGAAAGCAACAGAGTAAAACAATCTGTTGATATCCTTTAATTTTGTCTAATATTTTAATTACTTTGTACTAATTCATATTTACACCAACTCAAACCAATGACGAATAAACATCAAATTAAAGTATTTCTGAAACCAATTAGATGATATCATTTTTTCATTTATCATTTTAATAATTATTTATTGAATGAAAAAATATTGCCAATTAAAAGAAACTTAGCTACATGAAAAGTTTGAAACTAAATTTATTTTTACTTAGAAACAAAGTATTTAAAATAAAACATTATTTTACATTTTTAAATTCCGTTTCATCATGTTCTTTATGTTTTATTCTCACAACAATAATATGTTTGAAACAAAGGGATTTATTTATTTTAAAACGATAAGTAATAATTTGAAAATGTATATTGTACGAAACGTAATTAATTGCATTCATATGCTAATATCATTTTACAAACTACGTTATACTGCTAAAATGATTAACTTATCCTAATGATCAAAATCTAGTTCAATTAAGTTCAAGTAAATAATTTTTATTTCAACGGGATTGAAAGTGGTCGGTTTTTTGGACGTTATAGACCTAAAAGCCTGACAAAATTACGACTACTTAGGATGGTCTGATTTTAATTCTGTAAACATATTTCAGTTTATCTGCTTCTTTTCTAGGTTATTGTTGGAATAGATTTTTTATATTTTAATTAAAATTGTGTTTAAGGGGCCTCTAGGCTCTACACCTGCATAGTTTTGCGTAGAACTTTATACAATCTGAAAATAAATTGACACGGTCGAAATTAAAACAATTTTTTTTTTTAAATATTGCTTATACAAAACCCATTGAAAACTGCTTGCTTCCAATGATAATACAAAACGGTATTGCCTAGGTTTGTATTGTCGTATTAAAATTAAATAGTAAATTATAATATTATATTAATTAGGGGTTTTCCTCAATATGATAGAAGTATTGTAGTTTCGAGTGAGCAATTAAATAATTATTACCAAACATTTATGTTTTAGAAAACATGCAGGCAGCAGGAGGCTAACGTTAACACTAGAATACTGCTGTTATGATTTGCTAAAAATGTACAAATAATAACAATATGTTGGTGGCTTCAGAGAGGAATAATTTAAATGTTTTATCCTAGATGACATGTGAAAGTGTACAAATAAGAATAAAAGACAACAAAAACATGTTCACTTTGATTTGTTTTAAATTTTCTCTAAAACCAACTCTTATAATCTTTATGGAAGAACAGCAACATGTAGGTCCCCTTATCCGTTTACATGACTATAATATATAGTTTTTATGGCAATTTTTTTATTTCGTAGCACTTTGCCGTCTAGCGTGTACACTATAAAGTGAAATGAACAAATGTCTTTTGAAATCCATGGTATACCTACAATAATTATTTACATTTAACGAACGTATCTGAAAAGCCATAAATAAATATAAAAACGTTTTGTAGCCGACGAGTTGGAACATTTTATTAGTTTTCCAATGGCTTTGGTGGCGACGGTGTTGTTGTTTGTTGTGGTGCGGTATAAATTAAAATTTACTACCACGGCCGGAGTATTAGAAAAATAAATACCGTTTCTCGTATAATTAGTTTAATGGTCGGCGTTTTGTGTTATTTTATCCCGAAGGGTTGGTATTGCCCCTATGCGATTTCACCTTAATTATAAATTAATGCGGCGTTTTATTAAACTTGAGGGTTGTGGAGAAAACGCCGATGCCGCGCCGGAGAAACTGCCAATTTTCGAGAAAAAATAATGTACCTACACATAAATTAATAATAATAAAAACAACAGTTTTATCGTCTGGCCTCCAAACCGACTGAGTATACTCATATTTTGATCTGTGTGGGTTTTAGCAACGATTGTAAAACGGGCGCCGGCTTTAGGTACGCTTTAAGTTATCGCCACAAAATGAACTCTGTGGTAAACCTGAGCATTTATATTAAACCAATATCTTCTCATTCAACTGAATTCGGCCAACAGTAAAACTGAAAAACAGTAAATACCTAAATCTTAAACCTACATATCCCAGTTGGGTAAATTAATACCTATTTTTTCCAACGCTGAGGTAAGCCGAAAATTGAAATGAATATTAGTTTAATGCATATAATGTAAAACCATTCATTTAATATTTACTGATCAGGAACAATGAAGACGACAAAGAAATAAATTAAAAAATTGTATCATTGTAAAATTATAAATACCTGTATCTATAAGGATAGCTGTATGCTTAATTGCTAAATCACACAAAGGTGCCTTACTACTGAAAATCAGTTATCAGACAACTGACTGGATTCCAGTTACTGGAAAGAATATAAGTAGTGTACACAGTACACATATTAAAAACCATAATATTATATTTCTTAAAAATTTGAAAAATCTGTGTTTAGTTCATTTTTACACGGCCATGTTACCTAATTGTCTTAACTGTCAATAATATTTTATTTTTATTTTATAAAATTAACGTCAATCGGTTTTTTTTTAAGAGTTAACACTTTTATACATAAAGTATAATAACTGTCGTAAGCTAGTGGCTACCATTAAAGCAACTCTCAAAGTAATAATTATATTGAAAATCTGTCAGTTTTTTTACCCAGTTAAATGATTTTAATGATAATCATCACTTCAATTCTATCTCTTTTTCTTTCTATCAATTACCTGCTGTTCACTCTTAATCATTCTTAGATACACTTTTTTAAAATTAAGTTTCTTTTTTTCCTTCGTGTTTTACGCTAAGTTAAGCTTAATATATATTTTTGCATTAAGTAAGTTTTAATTGTATTATTAATCAATTTAAATGAGTAAAAATGTAAAAAAAAAAATAAGAGATATTCCAAGGTACTCTTTCACTGTGCAAAAATGCTAAGTCAAATATCAAGATCTATTTATTGATTAGTTCAATAGCAAGTAAAACAAAGATTACAAAACTTTTTCTCTTAATATTTTTGAAATACTCGATAATTAAAAAACAACTTTTTTTAAATTACTTACCTTGTATTTATAGTTGTATCATTATTGTTGTTAGTAAACTGTAAATAACATTGAAGTCAAACATTATTTCGACAAATGAATTTCAGTCAATTGGCAACAAAAATTTCATAAGATCTATCGTGAAAAAATAAAACACTGTTTTGAAAAATTAAAAAACTGAGTGTCGATACTCCTCACTTTAACCACTTGTTTTGGTCTAGTTTAGATTTTTACAGAAATGTCTGTAAACATTTATTTAGAAGCTATCTACTTGCTCAAACAAACTTGTTTAGGCTGTTAAAATTAAAAAATGCAATTTTAGTGGAAAAAGTAACATTATTTTACTGGTAAGTCATGATTGTACATAATAGTAGTAATAATTTACTACTATACTATTAGGGTAAGAGTAATAATTATAATTGAAAGACACGTTATCATAGGGATGGGTACTTTCCGGGAAAGTTAACTTATTCGAGCCAGAGTAAGTAAACAATAATCGGTAAAAGTGTTCATCCTAAATACAATATTAATTTTACGGTACAAATTCAATATTATTTTTCCGTGCTAAATAAATTTGACGTACCTATTGAAAAAAAGATAGAAACTTTTTCTTATGAGATATTTTTCTATTTTACTGTGTATCTAATTAATAATTTAGATTTGATTTCGTTCGATTACCATACTTAATTCTCTGGTAAATTTGCCAGCTCGTTTGTGTTTTTGCTTTTATCCGTAACACCCACAATTTACCGGTTTATAGACCTCTAGACCATGGTGTAAAATTGTAAAAATATTATGTTACCTATGTTCAACAATGACAAGAGCCTACCGCGCGCGGGCCGTGGCCAAATAAATACCTACTTACTGTATATTTTTATCTTCTTAACCATATAATTTAGCTTTTCCGGATGATCGTTCCGAGTTTATTCGCAATACTTTTGGGTCAGTTGCGTTGAAAATATCGTACGATAGCCGTGTGCGGTACAGCAGCTATATTGTCGAGACTCATTAGGCCGCGGCCGGGCACATTAATCGGATCACAACCTCTTCCCCTTTTCCTCCTTCCGGCCAAATCCAAAACTCGACAGATTGCACGCGGCCCGGTTTAAGCCACGCAGATAAATTCGAATAATCGGTAACAACGCTGCTCTACCTCCCCTACCCTACCCCACCCCCTCACTCGTTTTCCTAGATTACTTCTCCTCCGTTCCCTTCGCTGTAGCCGGCAGGGTAGGTATTATTATCAGCGAATCCGCACACACCGCACTACGATGCAATTATTTCACAAAGCCAAAAACAGTTTTACGGGCAAACCGACGACGATTTGTGTATAATAACGCGACTCGTAGTATTGCGGACTCGGTCGACCGGCATTTAAATTTACAACAATTATTTGATGTTATTATTCCAATAGCAATCAATCTAAAACGTCCGTCAATGCCGTCCACGTGTTGATTCTTCGACATCGTCCCCTGTAAACAACTATTTGTATCGTTCCGCTACAATAGTATGTATTGAATTCCAAACGTCAACAAAAAACGAGAAAAATCGTACAAAGTTTACATACAGGTATAATACTATGTCTACAAAAAAAATCCATGTAATGTATATATGTGTATGTGTGTGTACAATATAGAACAATCTAAAACAAACAATCATTTTTTTCCACTCCCTCTTTTGATTT